AGCAAAAACCAAAGATTTTTCTTTCAAAGAAATGCAGATAGTGTCTGTAAAAGCTATTCATTATTCTTCTTTGTGAGTGCTCTTGGTATTTGCAAATCTCTAGTAAGAATATAAATGTCTGTTCTTTATTTAAAACAAAGCTGAGGTCCTCTGGGAAGATGATTTTTTCTTTTAATGGAACAGCTCAACTGTGTGCCTCTACTCTTTGTAATTACATGTTGATAAGCAATGTCATAAATAGAAGCTGGTTTGGTTTAGTGGATTTTCTCCTCTTCATACTTAGATGTTCATAAATGGTACACAGGTCCATGTGACACTGAAGTGCCATTCTTAAGAGTCGTATGTGTTAGTGCTTCTTGACACAGAAATTTAGGTGCAAGCTCGTTTATAAACGAATAGCTGTGAAATGTAAATGGGTTTTGCATGTTCTAAATCTTAAATGCAGGCAGCACAAGTTCTGCTTTGTACAGAGACACCATATCTTGTCTTTCCTTATGTGGAAATGGTTATTTCTTAACAGATAAATATCAATGCAAAACCATGCAAAACAGGAAAGGAAATGAAGTTCAGGTCTCTGTTGCTTGCTAGCTAGAAGAAGACAGTGTAGCAGAAAAAGGGGTTAATCTCTCCTTCCTCTCCCCACAGACAGTTACTTGCTTTGAAATCAGTGATTCTTGGGTGGATTTTTCTCCTTCAGGTTAAAAAAGCAGCAGGAAGTTAAAACCACAAGAGTGATTCGCAGCCCCAAAAGCCAAGGGAAAGAAGGATGATGTAGGGCTCCCGGATATGCCATCTGCATGTCTTTGAAGGAAGGTTCAAGACTTGTGCTGCATGGAAGCAGATTTGCATTCTTTCCGTATCTTCCAGTGGAAGCGAGCCTCAGCTGTACCTGGCCTGGCTCTGCAGCCTCCCTGGCTCTCTTGTTGCAGCTGTTGAATAAACCAGAGAGGAGCCCCCGCAGGCTCTGAGGGTCTGTCTGTGCTGCCCCCTCTTGCTGCTCACCCATCTGGATCCCCTTCGCCTGTACAGAAGGGGAGCCAGAGGAAACCTTTTGATATCAGCCCTGTTATTTGTCTCGCTCGCTCAGAAATTGAGGGTTTGGCAGTTGCCTGTGATCTCTGCCGCTTGTCTGTTGGGAAGCTCGTTGCTGCATTCTGTCCCTCAGGTACTTAAATGTACTGAATTTCAGCAAGATTAGTGAAGTTCAGGAGCTGGCTGGATGACATCGGTGTCCCCAAACTAATGTCCCCTGTGGCAGGAAAGTAATTATAGTTCTCCCCTTACACAGCCTGAATATTAGAGAGGCATGTGCTGGCCAGCCAGCCCACACAGCCGTACCTCTGATCCAGAGATGTCGCCAACCAAAGCAGAGGAGGATGCCAGAGGAGATTGTGCAAGGAGGAAGAAAGGGAATGTGGAAGGGATCTGAGAACACTTTGGGTGGAGTAAGTGGTGATACAGGGAAAAAATCTTAGGTACTGTTTGGAGATCAGGCAGGATGCAGCATTTCTATAGTTCTACATATTCTCAGTGGTGGGAAATATTAAATATATTCAGGCCAGCGAGACACATCAGTTAGTTTCAATGAGTACGACTAAGGTGCTACCCAATAATGCTTATCAACTTGTTAGGATGTTGTGATGTTCTGGTGGGTTTCTTAGGTTCTTTTTGCACCTTCTTTGCTATGGACTCAAACAAAATGATGATGTGCAGCTGCTCAAAGTGTGGCTGAAGTTGTTTTGCTCTCAGCCTGAGTATGAGCAGAGTCTTTGCTTTCGTCTTGGATGTTGCTGGAGCATTGCGTCACCTCGCTGGGACATCAAAAGCCTCAAGCATCCAAAGAGGCTCTAACCTTCTCGTAGGATACTCAGCCCTCTCAGTGTTGTGTGTCTGTATTGAAACATAACTACCTACAACCCTGACAACCGAAATCCTGCTTTCTCTGGTGTCTTACAATTCGTTTGGAACTCTCTTATTGGTCACTGTTTGTGCTTCAGGGCATTTCATGAATTTTTTTTGGGTAGAAACAAGGCTAAAGAGTAATTGTGTAAAAGCACAGGTTCAACTCTGTCTTTAAATCTTACTGCACTTGCTGTTGCATGATCCTTATCTACAGCTTTCATGTTTGCCCACATTGCAAGCAGTGGGTAATTTTTCTATTTTAAATCTAGATGTACAGTGGTATTTTCTAAGCATTATAAGCTACTCAGATTTCACCAAATGCCTAAATATTTAAGGCCAGTTTTGAAAATTCTGGACATTATATCCAAATGACATAAACATTTGAATTAGCAGCATTTTTTTTTTTAATGTAAGGGGATTTTTTTCCTAGATTTATCTGCAACTGTTTCTTTCTAAATTACGTCAAAAATTCTAGGTAATACTTAGGCTAGTACCTAATGTTCTATTTGATTAGGATCAGTGTGTTTCTAAGGAGTACACCTTAAAGGGAGTTTAACATACTGAAATCGAATTGTACCTAATCACAGAAGAATAAATTTCGCTTTAAGTATGTGGGTTTCATGGTTTTTTCTCCCCAAACATACCTAACTTCTTACTGGTAATTTATTGTTATCAACCATTTATTTATAAATAAAAGCTTCAGGCACTTCATTTTAATCCATTGGCTGAGAGGGGCGAATCCAAGGTAGCTTTCAGCTCAGATGAGCTGCTGCTGGATCTGAGCTGACTGAGTAACTGAAGAAACTGCTCAGCCAAGAACTAGTTTGGCAGATTGTGGGTGTAGGCGCAAGACTGAACCTGTATCGCACCCTGATTTCAGCAAGCTGTTGCTTGCCAGGAAATCCATGCTGGCTGATTCCGTGCACTCCATTTTGCGCATGCTCTTTGCCTGGTACAGTTATGAAATAAAACCAAAAAAGCATTGACTTTCACCATTTTTACTGAAGTTTTGAACTATGGGCTTTGGCACAGTAGGTATGAAGTGCAGACACACATATTAGCAATGGTGGAAGTGGTTCTTGGTTAAGCTGTGATCACAATGTGTTTCTAGATGCTTACTCAGTGTCTTTTTCCAGTGATTTGATTTTTTTCCTTACAATTTCTGTAACAACTGTGGACTACTTGAGTAATACTGTAAATTAAGTGTAAGTAAGATACATTAATAATGGAAGTTTAAATAGATACTACAATAACTTCGAGTTTAGTTTAATATTTTGGTTTTAAAAATAATGTTAATTATTGTGATTATGATTTTCTTTATTGGAGAATATTAATTCATGTAGATGCACATCTGTTTTGTCTGTTACGATATTTCTATGGTTGTAGCAAGAGAGAGATGGTCAACAGATAAATGTGTGATGTCTGTGGATATCCTGAAATAGGGCTGGGGAGGTTCTGCCAGCTGTTGCTGGGAGATGTGTGAGGCCAGACCTTACTAGTTGTGCAGCTGGAGAAGAACTGGAGGGGAACACAAGGGTCATAAAACTTGGTTAGTGCTTTCATTGACTTCTGCCTAAGGAAAATCAGAAAGTCTAGTGTGATTGTATCCTTTCCCATGGAGGAAGCCACATTACTGTTGCGTTCTCTCACACCTGTTATTTCCTTGCTTGAAAGTAGAAATTACCCAATAAAAATACAGTGGATCTGTACAAAAAAGCAGTGGGTGATTTTGATCCCTGTGAGTCCAATGTTGAAGTTAATGAAGAGTCTTTGAACACTGTTGTTAATTTCCTTAGTGGTGAGTGATAGGACAAGGGGAAATGGCCTTAAGTTGCACCAGGGGAGGTTCAGATTGGATAGTAGGAAGAATTTCTTTTCTGCGAGGGTTGTCAGGCATTGGAAGAGGCTGCCCAGGGAGGTGGTTGAGTCGCCATCCCTGGAGGTGTTTCAGAGACGGGTGGATGTTGGGCTGAGGTACATAGGTTAGTGGTGTTGATAGGGTTAGGACAAAGGTTGGACTCATCATCTTAAAAGTCTCTTCCAACCAAAACTGTTCTATGATTCTGTGAAAGAATCTAATTTTGAAGTTGGCTTTGGTTTGAACAAAGGATTGGACCAGCTAGACCTTCAGAGGTCTCGTGATTGCTCTCTAAGCTGTCCCACCCAGCCTTTTGAAACCTCCCACTGTGGCTGCTTGTTCCACAGCTGCCGAGTCCTGAGCCCCCAAGGTCTCTGCTTTGATGCCCGGTCGTGGCACTGGGCTGTCCTGTCGTGACTTTTTGTGTGTCCCAGCCTGTCACCTCCTTACTGCAGGATGTGGAACAGCAGAAGCTTGCTCCAGTCCCCGTTTGGCCACTTCTGCCTCTGGCTTTAGTCCTATGTTGTATGTATATGTAGTTTTGGGTGGAAAAGAAACTGTTTCAAGTCTTGAAGTTGTGCAGTCCATTGAGACTTCAAGAGACTCAACTGGAGACTTACAGAAAACATGGTGTACATCTCTAAAACCGATGAATTAATCTGTTACTTGCTGCAGTTCCTAGAATGTGTATGCAAGTTAAAAATCAGATTTTTAAATATTTTTTCTTTAGTAGTCAGTGCTAAACTTCAGTTGTCAGTTTTTATCATTCCTTTCTATTATTATTGATGCCTATGCACCAATGCCAGGCTGTTGCAAGCAACAAAGACAAAATTTACAATCTTGAAAAGACTAAGCTCAAATTTGGCAAAGAAAAAGATATTCTTTGACATGTTTTAAGATATATTTTCTCTGATAAAATCACAAACTTGTTAATTTGAATGTTGTTCAAGAATTAAGTTTCAGAGTCATTTGATGGCTAGTGTGTAGAGACTTATATCTCTTCTCTTCCTGAATATGTTTGGGATCTCTTTAATGTTTATTTATTGTCTCTGAAACCGTGAGCTAGTGGATCTGATGAGATGCTATCTTCATTTCCTCTGTTTCCCTTGGAAAGGATATATTAAAACCTCCAGTTACAGCATCAAGTTGTGAAGCCCCATTTGCTTTTATAACTGATAAAAAGAAGAAAATGAAAGAAAAACTTTTGAAGATTTATCGTTTGTTTTGGTTTGTTTTTTAGGTTTTTGTCAAGCAGGCAAGGATTTACGATTAGTATCTCTGTGCATGGAGCAAATTGATATTCCAGCAGGCTTCCTGTTAGTAGGAGCCAAATCTCCCAACCTTCCTGAGCATATTCTAGTCTGTGCTGTTGACAAGCGGTTTTTGCCAGATGATCATGGAAAAAATGCACTTTTAGGTAAGAGATTTTTTTTTTTATCTTGCCATGATAATTCATAGAAAAAGGTCAGTTAAAAATTATCTAAAGTCACCTCAGCTAATGACTTTTTATTAGAAGTATCTTGAGGGGAGGCTTGTTTTTAATTAAATTAAATCTGTATCTCAATCTGCCTGAAAAGCCCATTTTAAAACAAGTCTCTGATTCTACAATTAGCCACAATCGAAACCCAGTGATTTCTGTGTGGACAGAAGTCAGTTGCAGACCTGGCATTCTAAATGTGAACCATCCATGTGCTCTTTATCTCTACTGATGCCCACAGCTTTTTAATTTAAGGAGAAATATGATCATGTAACAGTTGAAGATGAGCTATTTATTTTTCTGTGAGTTAAGGGACCAGGAACATTGTTCTCACTAAGAGCTCTGAGGGCAGTTTCCTTCTCAAAATCTAGTATACAGGGGAAAAAAAATCCAGCTCAACAATTTACGTCATAAATGATTGCATTTATGAGCCTTAAAATGTTAATACAAGAGTGCTTCATGGTGATTGAAGGCAGATGTATGTGCACCTAGGGCTTCCTGCCTGGCTCACAACCGGTACATGTCTTAACAGGCTAGTAAAAGTGATTTAATGTATTTTGGCTCCTTTAGCTTGTTTTGAATTTACTCTCTCATTTCTCCCTCCAGTCATTGTACCGCCTACAATATATTCAGAAAGACCTTTCAACAGGGAAGAAATTACAATAAAGCTTAAATACCCTGATTTAACCACACTGCTCAAATTCTGGTCTGGACCAGCAATATCTTGCATAACTATTGAAAACACCTCACTTTTGTACTTAGGTGTTTAAATGTTATTTCTCCCTTAAACCCTTTTAATATGCTGCTGCACTCTGTAAACCTTTGGCAGAGAAATCCTACTGGCTGGAGTTAGACAGGAGCTGAGGTGTGGTGTGCCTTTGCTGGCTGTGGCTGGGGATGCAGGGTTCTCTGCTGTACACGGCCATCCTCAGAGGAGCTTCTTCCCTGCTGAGCAGCGGAAGTGTCAAGCGTTGATCAATCAGAACTATCTGACAGACAGATGGTGTTGGGTCTGATTAAATATAGTGCTACTTTTCTTCGTTGGTAAGCCTTCCTCCCTGCCCGCCCTCCTCCCAGCTTTGCATCCATCAGTCATCTCTGATACCATTTGATAGTGAGCGTAGCCACTCGCATCTCTGCTCCGGCGTTGCTGATGTTACGTATCGAAATGTGTAACTGGGACCTGCGAGCAAAGGATTGACTTGGTAGCTCTGTGCAACTCTGATGACTTGTTTCTGACAACTGTGGAGATGCACCAATAGTTCCTGTGGGTTGCAAGGGAGAAGGGAAGGACTGATTCAGTCCCAAGAGAAACAGCTTGAAGAAATCTACTTCTTGGCATCCTCAGCAACATGATGGTAAAAGATGATCATGAGGGACAATAAGGCTAAAGGCAGTGGCCTGATTAGTAAGGCTATTTTGGAAAATGCGTTTTGTAAGAAAGACAATAACTTTTTCATAAAACTATGAATTTGGCTAACAGATGAGTGTAGGAAACAGTATTGTCCAAGGTACTTAGTAGCGAGGATGAAAAATCAGTTCTGTTACAGATCTTGAACTGATTAGTAAATGGAAAAAAAACCAAACCCAAAGCATTTCTGCTGGATATTAATCTGCCCAGCACTATTATAAATTATTGTTGATGTCCCAGAAAGAATATAAAATATTTCTTCATTAAGGGTTGAAAATGATTCGGAGATGGGTGGAGTGGCAAGTAAGCCAGAGGAGTTTAATTGTTCAGCATTAGGTCACAGAGGGGTTATTCAAACAACAACGGTTTTAAGGCAGACCCATTTCAGAGCATGCCCTGCACTTAGTTCTAGGAGATGTTAGGCTGGTGCCATCTATATAAAACATTCCCGTTAACACAGTTATGAATGGCACTGTAAATCAAGGATGCCTATAATCCTCAGTCTGGACCCCGTCCTCCAGACCTCAACTCAAAATTTCACCTCCTTCTGTGAAACCCTGTTGGAGACATCACAGAAAAGCAGTCTTCTGCCTTTGTTCCTAAATTATTACTTTCATGAGAGGTTGTAAATTTTTAAAAACATTCTGAAGCACTCCTAACTTCTGCCATGAAAATCTTGACGTCAAATGATTGCTTTTAAGGCTTGAGTAAGCTGTAAGATCCGGCTTGCTTGGCAATGATTTGCATAAGAAGTCTCACAGAAAAATTATTAGCTATTAAAGGATAATTTTAGCCACATGAAACTGCAGTGGCTACTATGGGTTAGCCATTGTTTTGAGAAAGAGATGTGTACAGCTTGGAACCCACAGGTTTTTAATGTAGAAAAAATTGATTTCCCCACCCCTCGTGGAAATTTCCTAGCCCGGCATCATAGCTCTCCCACTGCCAAGTGGTTATTCCTCTCAGTACTGTGTAGAGTAGAAAATTGGTGCTAGGATTTTGGCATAAGTTAGTGTGACCTAGAAAGATGGAAGTGTTTCAGAAAAGCCGCGTTTGGCTGCTTCCTGACATACCTGTGCTGTGCAGGGCATCTGCAGAAGTTGTCTGGCTGGAGGCCTCCAGTCACGCTGAACTGGATGTGCAGAGCCCTATTCCTAGCAGGTAGTACAAGTCATTTAATCTGTATGTGTATCTTCTGCTTCATTCTTTCAGGATTTTCTGGGAATTGTATAGGCTGTGGAGAAAGAGGATTTCGGTACTTCACAGAGTTTTCCAATCATATCAACCTGAAATTAACCACTCAGCCAAAGAAGCAGAAGCACTTAAAGTACTACCTAGTAAGAAGCTCCCAAGGTGTACTGTCAAAGGGGCCCCTTATTTGCTGGAAAGGTAATATAAAGGTGCACATTCACTTAGGTGTTTGTTGTTTGGGGTGCTTTTTCATTGTATTAGTGGGATGTTGAATGAGAAGTGGAAAGTTGTCGTTGAAAATGTATGCATTCAAAAGGAACTTAGTTTCTTTACTGCTTGAAGGGAGAATTCCCACTGATATCACTGAAGTCTAGATTTTTCCAAAGAGGTTTAAGTCTGAATAGTAACCATGCAGTTATAAATGGTCTTCCTCCATCTTCCATACTTTCAGTGGGAGCCCTAAATCTGCCCTTCTTAGGACATGCAGCTGTCTTGGTGGAAGAAATAAGGTTGCTGATTCTTTTCTGTGCCTGAAGCAAGATGACTCACAGCCAGGGCTCTGACACTGACTTTCCACTGATACTCAGCAGGTGTAATTCAGTCTCTGTAATGCCTGGGGATACCTAGGCATAAGATTAAGAAAGCTCTAGTTGCTCATCTCAGGGAAAGGAGAAATCTTGCATACTCTTGCCTTTTCTGGGTATATTTTACACTTGGGCTTACCCTCTACCTGGAGCAGCCTGTGCAATATTGTTACATGCTAAGAGATTACTTTTGTGACCCCAAGGCAAGGTAGCCATGGCGTCTGTTATTGAGGGATGCAGGATTTTTGGTGCTAGAGCCGTGCACAGACTCAAAGAGAGAATGATTTACCTACTCGCTGTCTACTAAGCTGGCGTGTATGCAGACTGCCTGTCTTCCTGAGCTGGGCTCTCGCTCCGTGAAGACTGAGTTCGATCTGATGCCAGTTGTTCCGAAGAGGATGATGTGAGGAGAGGAGAAACTCTGCAGGAGGACTGACACACATCTGAGGAGTCACATCCTCATGTGAATAGCAGCGTGACACCAGAAGGAGATGGTTATCACCAAGCTGTATGAGTGATTAGAGTATTGTATCGGTTAGTGGTTCAAAGGGATCCTGGCTTCAGCTGCTTTTCTCAGTTACGAGCATAATTAACTACTGCTGTTGAGTGGATGTGTTTTTCAGCAGCATTTTTTGCAAAACTACAGAAGGATTTGGTTTGGTAGCAAAGTTCCAAAGGCACAAAAGTGAAATCTTATTTTACTTTTGGAATCCTTTTTCTGAAACCGCTCCCTGATGCTCATGCAGTTAGGACTGGTGTGTGTCCTGGTGAACGTGGTCAGGAGTAACGCACGTGTAGAAAAGGCAGATGCTGGGCTTGCTTTTGGTTGTATGCCAGTTGCAAGTGGTTTTGAGCACCCATGAAAGCTTAGAAAGTCTACCAAGAATCAGTCTCAAGGGCTTTATTTTGGTAGGCTCTATCCCCATATTGCTGCCATCCATCTGGTAACCCTTCACCTTTTACTTACATTGAAGGTCTAATTAGAAGAGAAACGCTTTTAGACACCCCTTCTCTTCAAAGAAAACCTGATCAGATCTCAGTTTTAAAAATGGTTTAATATGTGATTTTTAAGGTGACTTTCTCTTCCCTCAACTCAGTTTTCATCAGACACAACGCTGGTTTTGTGGAGGCATGCTAAGAATCTGGGTTTCAGCGCAATTTCTACTTTTAAAGGGCAACATATGATGGTTTGTATAAAGGTTGTGCTGCAGAAGTCTCTCAGTGTTTCCTGGGATATGTCCAATACCTTCAAATCTCTTGAAGGCTGTAGACTGAGGGCTCTTGCCCTTTTGCAGCATCTGGTCTGTATTTGCCTGGCCCTCTGAGTGGCCCTCAGGGAGGTTTTCTTAATTAGAAGACAAAGTTGACTAGACTGCAAGAGCTGTATTTTCTTTGAATGCTGCCATTTGCCGCTGTTTGTTGTACGTGCTGTATGTATGCTTTTAACATTTTGTCACCTTTCGCTGCCGTATTGCTGAACTGTCCTACTGGAAGGCAGGCCTTGTTAATATGTACTGTAGCTGCTTCGTTTGCAGAATGTAGAAGCAGGCAATCATCTGCTGCTAGCCTCTCTGCTAAACCAAATTCTTCGGTGTCACCGTCCACGACCCCAGAGGGTGGATCAGCTAATGGATACAAATCAGGGTTCACTCAGACAGGTAGGAGCTGACAGTGCTATAAAGATAACCATTGGGGGTGGTAAGTTACCTCGATATTGGTGATCGAGCGATGCTGTGAACAACTGGATATTTTCCTCAAGCCATGTGTAGATTACAGTGGGGAGGATGCCTTGCAAAGTTTGCTTTGTGAGAGATTAAGACCAAGGTGAGCCCAACAGGTAGCTTAGTCCTCATAGGAATAGTCGACTAATAAGTATTAAAAGAGCTCTTGGTGCCTTTATTTGATTCTGTGACTCCCTGTGTTTATTTCATTTAATTTGTTGTGGATCTCAAGAAAACTTGAATTACACATTTATAGGGAGCTATTTACTTAGTATATAGACTAGAGTATTTGTCTTGAAAAGGAAAACAATCTCCTTTTTGGGATTAGGGCTGCAGATTTTATTTATTTGCTTGCCTATTTATTTATTAAAATTTTATTTCATACAAGAATGTACTTAGAATAGCAATTTCCCCATACACAGACAGTGGATTAATGGTATGTGAGCTAACATGCATCTTATAACTATTCTAGAAAGCTGTTAATGACAAACTGTATAAATCAAATAAACATTGGCTGATGAGGAGGCAGCATCTTAATTTTATTTATTTATTTATTTATTTAATTGCAAATAGCCAAGGTGCTTTTGTTTGAGCTTTTTTTGTCATTGCTTTTTTGTAACTTCGTCTGTGCTGTTAAAAAGCTTTCTGTTAGTTGTTGTAATTAGTTGATAGATATGTACCAGAACATATATTTCTCTAGAGGAGTATGAAATGCAGATACAAAATCTAGATTGTTAAAATAGTTTTTCTACTTGTAAAGTACGTTAAAAAGGGAAAACAACCAAAAGCTGAACATGTGCATTCTTAAGAATCACTGATCAGTATGGTCAGAGATGCTTTCCCCAGATGGTCACTCCTGTCTCTGTTTAGGAAGCTCTAGGCTTTAGGCTTTGGTTCAAATCAGATGAGTGTTGTTTGAACACATCTGCATTTCATTGCACGATCCCTCGGCTTCCAGATCCTGGCATGAGAACTGTGCAGCTGCATGAGAACCTATTCATTTGAAGCAACAAGTCATCCAATATTTACACAGCTTTGCCCTCTATTGTACCTGCCAAGTTAATAGATACACCTTTTATATACTGCTTTCTCCTTATCACTCACTGCAATTTTCAGTCTGCTTGGTGTTTCTGTGTGTCACTGTTTGTACTCTTAGGTCATGGTTTTCAAAACCTTTTCATCTCCTTCTGCTGTTATCTTCTAGAGAAGATAATGCCACATGCATACATATGAGTCTGCCTTGACTGGGAGAAGCAGGAGAGGACCTTTTTTCACTGCACCTTTTTATGATGGAGGTCTGACCTCTACTAGACTCTGCATAGCTGTGTGTGCTTTATGTTGACTTCTTTGACTTCCATGTGTGCTTTGAGTTGTTTTAAAACAGGACTACTTACTAGCAAGTTGCTTTCTGAACTTGTTTTCAGATTATTGTCACCTCGTACCCATTTTCTCCTTTTCAAGTTGTGTAAATATTTCTGTTTGATGCCCTTGTAAGTGAGCAGTTCAGTCTCCGAGTTCTAGAAGATACCTATAGGCAGACAGTTACAGGCACGCTCAGAGTACTGTGTTGAAATGGTAGTTCCATGATAGAAATTACAGCACAAGAAAATTTTGAAATACCATAGTAAAAGCTGACAGTACAATGTGGCCATGACATTGCAGTCAGGTGTTAAATGAGTGTTAAGCAACTAGAAACAGGATTTTACAATAGAAACGTGAACAATTTTAATAAAATGGTAGTAGTGCAAGTTCTGTTTAGGTACCGGTGTGGTGTTTAAACATATACCAGCCCCATCTGCATTTGAAGAAAATGCATTAGAACTGGAGAGTAGGAGCGGAAAAAAACCCCACACCAACAAAGCTGCACACTTTGAGGGAAGCTTTAACACTATGTACTTGTTACATCATATTCAAGGAGAGACCAGCATTTTCCTCCGAAGCCTTTGACCTGGTGACCTGTTTTGTTAGCCACACAGCGTATTTCCTGTGAACACGGACAAGTTTTTCTGGTGGAGCAAGAGCAGCAGCGGTGTTGATCTGTGTTGGTTCCCCAGCTCAGTCGGTTGGTCTGGCAAAGCAGACTGTCCTCCCCACGCTCCTTCGCCAAATGGTGTGGCGCCTGAGGGTGAATGTATTTGTCAGATCAAGTTGGTCTTTGCCTTCTGTTTTCTGTATCTGGCTGTTTATTTGGACATCTGTAGGTGAACTTAGCCTACTTTGCCTACTTGTTGCAAACTACCTTCTGGGCAGACACTGAGTTAGTATTCTTTCCCTCTGGTTTTAAGTTTTTGACTTTTTCAGTGTATCAGCATCTGAATGTAGAATTTTTCCTGAAGCGTGTTGCAGATATTAAATATCTGATGTTTAAGTAGGGGCTTACATGCTGAGAGGTCTGGAATCAGTTCTAATTTGTAGTTTCGTACTGGGAGAGTATTAAGAGTTTTTGTTGTTAAGTTTATCCATCTGAAAAACAAGGTTTATATTTTTCAACCTTAGTAAAGGGCTTTAATTCATGAGTTAATTCATGAGTTTGTGATTAGAAACCCTTCATTTTTTAACCAGACTTCTCATAGCCTTGTAGACACTAGTGCTGTAAGAAGGTTAGGTATTTGATATTTTTTTCCTACCCTAAGGGAAGCTCAACTGTGTCTGGCAGAGGTTCAATAACTTGTTCTTGAAAACCTCAGGTGATGGAGCTTCCACAACCTTTTTAGGCAACTTACTCCAGTGCTTGCTGGGGGCAAGTCACACAAGGTTTTTACCTTAGCTTTCTCGTCTCTAACATGGGATGTATTTACTTGCCTGTCCTACAGCAGTATTTTTAGGAGCAAAGAGATAGCCCTTTCTACAGTTAAAATATTTTTTGAGTGTATGTGAATGCAGAATAGTGTGGAAGAGATAAATTGTCTCATGACTTTAGTAGATTATAAAATTCTATAGAGATGCCCAGTTAAATGTTTGTTACAACTCCTAAAATATAATGGTACATGGTTATTTCTTAGGAGTGTTTGCATTATATGCAGAGATGAGTTTAGATAAATGTATATGACCGGTGATGTATATATAATAGTAATTAAATATGCACACATATATAATTTTAAATAATTAGTTAATTAAACAACTTCTTTTCTCAGATTCTTCAGTATTTAGTCCAGCAAAATCATCTTCTGCTGTTAACTTAAGTGGAACTCAAGACCCATCCCGGAACAAGAACATTGTGAAACCTCTGGCTCTGTCAGTACAGCTTGTAGGAAAGTCATTTGCCGCAGGTATAGCTTTACTTTCCACGGTACCTGAGAGCCAGCTCAACAGCCAAGAAATAAGGGAGTCATGTTTTGAGTGGAAAAATGAAAGGAAAACATTCACTTGCATTCTCAAAAACGCTCATATTCTTGCAGTCTTCTGCCCAGAAATTTTCCATGGCCATTACTGTCCCCAAACTGAGCCACACCTTGGCTTTCAGATTTGATGTTCTGGTAAAAGTGAATGTCATATCCCTCTTTGCACCTGCTAAGAGACGATAAAAGTCACTTCTTGATATCACACTGATTCTTGCCTTAGTATCCGAGTGCTGTGTGGTATTCTGAATTTGTAACAGCTACAATTCCTCCACATCCATCTAATGGAAATTAGTCTCATTTAAAGGGGTTCTAATATCTGTGCCATTTTAATTATTTGCCTCTGTATTGTGTGTTTCATAAAGTAGAACCCTCAACGATGGCATCTAAATCCTTCACTGGTGCTCTACTGTAATATTCTGATTGTTTATTACTTTAGCTGGTTAATTCTTTAAGCAATGAAAAAAAAGATTACATTTATTACAGGGAGGTATTCTTGAATAAGAAAAAGTATAAATTTATTTAGTCTGTATATGCACATGAGCATTACATTTTATACATGATATATCTACTATTTTACACAATGTATATTGTTATATATACATATTATGTTGTATCTAATGAATCATTAACAGTTCTTTGTGTAAAGTACTCATCTTCCCTCCATACTTGCCTAAGAGAATTTATCTTGCACTGAAATTAGCTCCCGCCATTTCAACCGCTTCTGTAACTGACCCACATCCACCCTATCTGTCCGTACCAAATCGTTGGCTCAGAGTACAAATGAGGAGTTTACAAAGGGCGTGATGTTATTTGAATTTTGCTAATTGGCAACCTGAGAATCTTGTGCCTGAGTTTATTTGGATGACCGTGGCTGGCGAGTTCCACTTTGCATTGTTTTAAGTCAAATACCCGCATCTCAAACGCTTTCTTTTGTAGCTGACATCAGCAACATCTCCTGCTGTTGCTCCTGGAATATGTTCCTGGGAGCTAAATCGTTCTGTCACTGACAGATAACAGGACGGAGCTGTAGGGACTGCTGGGCTCCATTTCTGCTCTGCTCTGAAAAAGAGTAAGAAAGAGCACGATAGTGTGAGGGCAACTTCTTGTGATCCTCTGCTGTTGTAGTTCCGTTTTGTGATCTGACTACAGCAGGTCCTGCCAGGGTGTCAGGCTCGCTGGGCCCTGGAGGCAGAGGCAGCAATGTTAAGCGTGGCTTGCCTCAGTAATGCTCCGAGCACGTGTGTTTTTCAGCAAACTGCTTTGTCTTCCCTGCCGAGTTTCCTTTACTAAGGTTTTTGATGAAAGCCCTGCAGTGAATTCCTGTGTACAGGGGGAAAAAATTATAGATGTGCCAAGGTGGTTTAGAAATCTTTACAAACTGAATTCATGATGTGCATTTTTTCTGAATTTTCAATGTCTAAAAAACTGTCACACACTTTCCAATTACTTTTTGTGTGTGTAATTTCCTATTTTATTTTGGTGTGACTCATTTGGGATTTTTTCTTCCACCTATCCTCCCCATCCTGAAATTTAGAGATCCCATTTCAAGATTGCAGTTTTGCAGCCTGTACCAAAATAATTCTCTGCCAAGTACACTTCATGCTTTCCCTGGAGTATGTTTCTTTGTCATGTACCTTTCCCTGTTCTTTTATGTCTGCATGTGGCTGTATTATGTTGTTTGTTTGTTTTCAAGATTGTTTTAAGATACACATTCTGTGCTTTATTGTCCTCAGCTCCTCTTTCACTGCATGCCACTGACGTTGCTAATGGAAACACTAATGGAGGAAGAAATGTGTTGAGTTCTACAGTCTCTCGGCCAGTTCCTCACTCAACGTCTCCAAATCCTGGCTGTGCAGCTGGAGACCAAGGTAAAGGAAACTTCTCTCTTTTATTTTAAGCTGTACTGTTTGTTGAGCCTGAAATTTGTGATTTTCTTCTTCCTCATAGCTGTTTCTACAATTCAGTATTTACAGATCCACTTGGTTTTTGGCATGACCGTTAATGATAACGCTGTACTTTTTACACAGGTAACAAGATTTTTCACATCATAGACTGGCTTCATGTAAATCTAGGTGTAAACCTCTGGTGCTCTGTGATGTGATACCAGCCCAACACGAATGTGAAATGGAAATGTGGGCTGGAATCTGGTCATTTGGGAGAATGGAGTTTGGAATTAGTTTTTGCTTTCCTGTTTAGCTTCAATGTCCAGTTCTGGACCACCAAAGAAACGTCACCGGGGATGGTCTCCTGGATCCCCAGTCCCACCTACTGGTTTAGCGGTATCTGTTCCTACAATTCGGCCTTCAGGAAGAACAGGTAAAACTTGAATAATACAGAGATGCCTTTAGTGAAAACCTGTACTCTGCCACAGCAGAAGCCCTGTGTTGCTTTTCTTAAGTGTTGTACAGAAAACATAACTGAGCTCGTTGTTGAAGACATCCTGAAGACTTTTTCAGACACCTCAGAAAATCATGATTGCCTTGTCCTTTTTGCCATAATCTAAGAGAAGACACAGTGAAAGTGAAACTATTGGTGGAGAAAAAGGAAAAGAAGATGCCAATAATGTAGGGGGCCAGTTAGCTCAGTCAGTTGAGCGTAGTGCTAACAACGCTAAGATCGCGGGTTCGATTCCCGTTCGGTCCCCATGTGTTGCCTGATCTAGTCGAGAGGTGGCGTCCCTGGCGACAGGGAGGCTGGATTAAAATGATCTCTAAGGTCCCTTCCAGCTTAGGCCATTCTATGATTCTATGTTAATGAAAAGCCAAAGCTATCAAAGTCCCTGAAGTGTAACTGACTTTTAAAATTGTGTGAGCATATGGATATATGAACATATTTCAAGGGTTTCCGTTAGCCTTCACCTTGAGTGTTGTGTCTCTCAGTCTGCTGTGGCATGCTACAGAAACTGTACACTCCATTTCTGCATGGGAAAGCCAACTTTATATAATTTTGGCCTAATAAAGGATGCTGGTGTCTTGGGTTAAAAGCATAAAGTTCATGAGACTAAATGTCTGTTGTGCATGGAAAACCTGTAGGAGAGATATAACACCATGATATGAAAGAGAATTAATTATGAATATTTGTGAATACTTACCAGTATCCATGTAGGTATTTCTTTATGCATAAATATTAATAAAACTGTTCACTATTTCAGCACTCTTCAGTTGTGCAGTTTGTGTAGGGGAATGAACAATTACATATTCCTGTCTCTGTGAGGTTAAACATACAAGAAAGAAAAAAAGTGTTTGTCAACATGCACAATGTATTTTTAATTCTGCTTTGGAGGGCTTGGCTTTGAGATATTTTTGAATTAATTTTCAGAGATATTCGTCATAGGAAGAAGGGTTACATGGTAGTGCAGGCCTGCCTACTTGAGCACCTCAGATCAATTGCAGCTTTTATAGGTTTCAGAGACCTGCTGAAGATAAGTGATACAAGGCAATCTCCCCCTTGTTATTGCATTTGTCTCCACCAATCTACTGTGTACTCCATTTTTTATGAGTCTCTCATAATATTTTTTTCCTCTGTTGGGTTTTCCACTTCTGAAACATATGCATTCATTCCTGTCACCTTTGATGCTTTTCTATTGATGGCATTGTTTGAAAAACCTGTTACAAACCACCATGTGAAGCCTGAGAAATGTCTGAAGCAGACCTCATGCTGAAACCTGATGACAGATTACAAAATCCTTGCCGTTTGTTTCTTTTTACTTGTGAAAGCTGCTTCTGCTCTTTCATGAGCAAAGCCTAATTTTTATCCTTGCAGCAGCTGTCTAAGGACAGCTCTGAGATTTTGGCCTGGGTTTTGTTTTCTTATCTTACGTGTATTCTAGGTCAGAAGTCAGAGCAGTCTCTTGCCTTGTGTTGAGAGGTAGCCTCTGTCTTAGAGGTGGCCTTTTGGCTTAGTACTTGGCTTTGTTTAAAGATGCATATTCAAACCTGTGTTTTCTTCTCTCATTCCCACCAACAATACAGTGGTCTGAAAAAGTTTTATTTTAGGGGTGGGGCTACAAGAGGATATAGGCTCTTAATTTAAATTACTTAAAACTGTAGCAGGAAATGCAGAGACCTTTTGAATTTTATTACAGTTAGTGATCTGCAGTAATTTTTTTTTATTTGTTCATATGGCCAAATCACAGTATGAGCCTTTTAGTAATGGAAGCTTCTCTTTTCTTTATTTTATAGAGCCTCTTTTGTCAGTCCCAGTTCCTCAATCCATATTAACTGGAATTTTACAGCCTCAACCCATCCCAGCAGGGGAGACTGTAATAGTTCCTGAAAACCTGCTGAATAACTCGGGAGTCAGACCAGTGATTCTGATAGGTGAGTCTTACACTGGACAGTCAAATGCTGTGTTTTGAACAAATACAGTCTCCCCTAGGAGAAAGATGGTTTTGATTTCTTTTTGTTGGTTCTGGCATTCAGTGCAATATGAAGTCAATGTGTCACAGATAGTTTGTTTTAGTTGCTCAACATTTAGAACTAGAAGTTAGGCGATTTCTGGACAGGCTGATTTGCAAACAGGTCACGATTAGGTCAAACTTATACAAAAACTGGCCAAATTGTTTTGTATAAATAAGTTTTGTATAAATAAGATTTTTGTATAAGAATAGAAATACTTCCATGTAATGAAAATACCTTTCCAGTGTAAACAACTTAAAAACAAGAAAATATTTCCTGCGGCATTTATAGTCGAGATCTTGAAGCCGAGGGATTCTGCATGAGAACCAGAAAATTGATTTGAACTGACTAATCAGAAGTAAATCATACTAACTTTTTGTCGTTTATAGTCCATAGTTCTAGTAAGAAACTGAGATAACAGATCAGACTTCTCTAAAATCCTTTAGCTGGATAAAGTGCGTTGTTAACTCTTAGAATTGCTTTACCTTAAAAGTACGACTCGTAATGTGACTGTCCCTTTCAACCTGAGCTATCTGGGCATAGTAACAAAAGATGGGTCAGCTAGTACTGCCAAAATGTTGACAAGTCATTTTTTGACTCTAAATCTCTTTTCAGTCCAGCATGGTACAGATGGTCATATAATTTAGCTTAAGTTTTAACAGAACATGTCTATAAATACAATTCTTAATTTGTCATTCCTGAAGAAATGGGCAAGTTCTCCAAGTCCTTACTTGCACAGATAATTCTCATAAACACAATTCTTAAAGAATTAACAGGGCCGTCTACACTGCTAAATCCATCAACAGTACAACGCTGTTTCTGGTTTGTTGCGTGTAGTCTTGTTTTCTGGGAGCCTCTTCTAAAGCTCTAGCGTGGTGCTCTAATGGTTTTCAGAGACACGCTTCCTTGTTGAAGATGCGAGAGCCTACAGTCACCGGCTTAAGTGCAAATTGAATACAGCCCTTCAGCTTTTGGAGAGTTGCCAGTGAAGTCCTCGGTTAGGCTCAATGTTAGTGGCCCTGAGAAGCAGCATCCTATTAATAGTACAGAACCAGATGTACCCAAATGGACGCATTTGGCAAAATCTGTGTGGATTTCTTTTTTTTTTTTTAAGAGCGAAAACATTCTCAAGGAAAGAGGAGTTAGCCTGTGCTTATGTACTTTAACTTACAGAACAGCATGTTTAGTTGTCAATGTTTGTTTAATGTGTTTATGAAAACAGAATAGAAACGTGGCAAAAAAGTTAAATCAATCACAGCGATACCACAGTGACCGAATCAACGCTAATGTGACTTACGTGGCTTTTAGAATGTTAATGTACTTTTGCTTTCATTTATTTTTTTTTCTTTTTGTACACTGTATTATGGAGAATCTGTATTTAAAGGTCAAGGTAAGACCCAGGTAAATAACATCCTCATCTGCATATGGATAACAATAATTATCCTGCTGGTATACAGCTATTGTTCATTTTTGCGAATCTGTACAATCACTTGTAAAATACAGCGGAAGATCACTGACCCATCTCATTTATTTTGTGAGCAGTTTCAGTGCCAAGAACAGTCACTAATGCACAGTAACACTAAGTGTATACATTGTGCAGGACTTCATGTATTGTAGTCTTTTTTGTGAATTGTAGTGGAGTTTGTTTCTTTCTTTTATCAAAGGTTATGGCACTTTACCTTATTTCTATGGGAATGTCGGTGATATCGTTGTAAGTCCCTTGCTGGTGAACTGCTACAAGATTCCACAGCTGGAAAACAAGGATTTGGATCTCTTAGGTTTGACCAGCAGTCAGCTGCTAAGTGTGGAGAATATGATACTTTTAACTATTCAGTATCTTGTCCAACTAGGTAAGTAATTTGTCAAAAGCACTTGCTTTTATTTATGATGGTCCTTTTTCTCAGCCCACCCTCTTTATGTCCGTTTCAGAGACAATTTTCTGTCTGGTTTTTTGACTGGAAGAGGTAAGTGGCTCCATCTAGCGTGTGTGACTTTGCTACTTTGTTCTCAGCTGAAGGAGTGAGGTGAATTTAAAGGCTGATACTGCTTCTGCTCTCTGGCCTCCATATGGAGAGTGACCAGGTCACCTTTGTGAAAATGGATTTGCAATGCAGATAACTCATTTGCTTAGGGTATCAAACCATCAGTTATCACAGCTCTTTCTAAGGACACCCAGTCTGTTTTATTCAGTTTTGTGACAAATGCTGGCAGATGTGTGATGGTCATCATTGTTTTGGTGACAGCACTGTTTACATGAAAACCACGTTTGTTATTCAGACTAAGGCAAGTGATTCAGTGAATATCTCATTCTTGTAAATGTTTTTGAAATGGACTCTTCGCAGGTTTGAGAGCAAACCACATTTTCTTTCTCTTACTGCAGGAACAGATGTTTTTCCTGCCTTGAAGTAAAAAGCAGCAGTCTTAACAGTAGGGTTTTAGAAGTTAACGAATAATGCAGGATAATGTTGGAAAACTTCTCACAGCAGTCTCAGTCTTAAATGCTGGATCCGAAAAGATGCTAACTGTAGTAGAGATGACTTTGGTGCCTGTCCTGCGTTTCCCCTAGGGCATCTGTAATACATCATGATATGAACTGTGCTGACATTTCAACAGAAGTGCAGCTGGTGATAACCCTGTAATTTGGGGAGCAAAGGTGCTCTGTGCAGGTTTCACTCATGAGTTCTTACGCTTTACTCTTCTCCCTTATGCTGTACTGTTATGGAGAGGAAGGAGGTCATCTCTTCTGTCTTGTAATACTCTCTGAGTGACCTGTTTGCTTTATTTATCTTTCTCTGCCTCAGTAGTCTGATGGACATCATGTTAGAACTGACGGGGGGTTTCTTTATTTTTTTGCAGGCTGAATGATGCCCTTCTCTCAGTGGGCTTAAATTTGTTACTTGAGGTTTTTCATCACCATTGGAATTTTTGTAGAGTCTACATGTTAAAACAAGCTGATTCACACAGTTCTGGATTGATAGAGGCAGCTTGCAAATTTCCTTCAGAGAAAGGTGGCTAGCTCAAAGTAAACTTTGTATTGAAACTTACTGAGGCAGTGAACCACACTCCATGAGCAAATCCAACCCTTAGATGCACGCAGCAAGTATATACTGGCTGCGAACTAGAGGAGGCTTCGCACAAAGCTTCTGGAGCTGAGCTGTGTGTGGTGAGCACCGCGCCCTTAGCGTGAAGCAGTCCCCTTATTAGCAGGTGTTTGTTTGGCTTTTGTTAATAGCTGCGTGAAGCTGAATAGTTTTGCATTCGGCCTTGTGCGGAGATGGGCGCCGGCACTGTAAGATGAAAGAGCATAATGAGAAGAAGTGAAAAAGCATTCTACAGAGCTTGAGGATCAAAACATGTTGCTGGTTTGAATTGCTACAAACTTAAAACCATTGGGATTATGATGGGTGCATTGAACTGGGGCGTTTTTCCCATTCTGTGAAATCGAAGAAGATTAAAGATGATTGGAGGGCAGCCAACTTCAGAAATTTTTGGAAAGGGAAAGGGACAAATACACACTAAATTAGCAATTTATTCATGTAAGCCTCTTTCTTTGTTGAGAAAATAGGACTAAAAAGTTACTCTTTTCTTCCAGAGTATATTGTGAAAAGAGTAAAAGGCAAAGATAAAAAAGCAGACAGAAGAATGAGATACTATTTTGCCTTTTTTTTTCAGATCCACTACTTTTACAAAATATGTTTGCAGATGACTCTGATCGCAGATTATGAGAATATTATTTCTGAAAGTGCTCCTTTTTGGGAAAAAGATAGAGCTAAGAATTCCTTTCAGTTTTTCTGAAAGATTATGATGACATTATTGATTGTAGGATACTGTTGTTTTCCGAAATCAACTGAGCAATCTTACAAAACAAAGCCAAGAAAACAAGTGCATTTCTGACATTTTCATTTTAAACCTAATGTACACAGTTAAAGCTGTGATTGTGAGCCGTAGCACTTCTATAAATTCCACTGATACTGATAAAGTAAGATCAAGAGGTGTGTTTGATTTCAGTGGTTTTTTTAGTCTATCTCCCGTACTTATTCAGATTTCACATTTGTTGTCTTTGTTAGGATTCATAGTGAAGTATTGTCAAGCTTTGTTTTAAACCTCAAAATGCCCATATTTGCAGTGTGGGTTACATTCTATTGGTTGTAATTGACTGCTTTTTACCATTGCACCACCGTTTCTACAAAAACAGTCTCATCTTACCCAGTGCTAAGGTCTGTGTTTTGGTTTTTCTACTAGAGGAGATTTCTGGACCTCCTGTTAACTGCCTGTTTAGCATTATAAAATCATTCTCCCTTCTCTCTTGTTATGACACGTTTGAATTGCTTTGGCTCTCTGTGTGCCGTGACACCCAGAGGTGTTTCGTAGCTTCAGTCTCTGAGTGCACATCCAGACTCAAGGCAGCAGCAAACCTCTGTCTTTGTCTTTTGGAAGGGATATTCAGACACTCAAAGCAAGAGGCTATTCCAGGAATTCTCCTAGTCTGAGCTGGTTGGAGGAGTAGTTCTTGTTGGGTTGCACCACAAAGTATGTCTACCTAGGTAGAAATAGATGGCATTTGAATATGTTGTCTTAAAACCTAGGGGCTCTTGGAAAAATAACCAAGTTAATAAGGTCTTTTTCAGATACTAATATCTGAAGTCAAGATGATCTTTTGTGTACACATTCCTGTAGAGAAGCTTCCAAATATTCCCTTTTAACCTGAATGGATTCTTGTATATATATACTTATGAAACTGTTTATCATTTTGTCTTCCATCTCATCTGATGCTAGTCCCATTGTTTTTCTGGATAGTTGTGGAGAAAGACTGCCATGAGCCAATTGTAGTATTAAAAACACTTCAACAATTCTAAAAAATTTCCCTAGATATGCATTTCTGATAACTACTTTTAAAAGTTTTTCTCTTATAAATCATCTGAATGAAGTTCTGTGTGTTCTCATACAGAAGTCTTTCCGTTTGTACAATTATTTTCATTCTCTTGGATTCGTGAGACGCTAGTGTCTATAGCTTGTCTCTTAAGTAACCTTCCTCAATCAGTAAAAGCTTGCTTTTATTTCTTTTAGTGTATAGCATCTTTTTTGTTGTGATCGATATGCTGTAAATAGACTTTATTTCTGCAGAAGATATATCTCTTTGTCAATAAATGTCTATTTTTTCTGTTTCGAGTTCTTTTAAGACCTAGAGACATCTATCCTGTGTTAAAGTAGACTCATCCGAACTTTTTGGTTTGCATCAAAAAAGAAAACTTGCATTTGCAAGTCTATAGTTGTCCTCCCGTCCCATGGCAGTTGGATGGTGACACCCTCCATATGTTACTTCTCAAAAAGGCACAATGACAACAGCCGCAGGTTTTACATATTCTGTGTTATAGGTTATTTACCCACTCGCTGCCCTACTTCTCACACAACCCTTCTGTTTCCTTTTTGTCACTGCCCTTTTTGCTTGTTGTCTTTGGCCCCAAAAGAAAACATAAAATCAAACCCAGCATTTCACATATCTCTGGTATTTAAGCCCTCCTTTTTGTCATAGAAAAGCAAGCTGCTGAAGCGTGAAGTTTTCTCCTTTGGCACCAACATGAGATCTTGTCAATTTAAGCTCGGGTTACTTTTTTTACTTTGTGTTCATGAATATTTTTTTTATCTGTTCCTGAGTGTCTTTGACAATGAGATAAATCATACTGAGCGAAATGTTAACGAAAACTGAGTTGGGGGACTGATGCTAAGGTAGGGTGGCTTATATTTTGCAATACAAAGTCTGGGGTATATAGATCTGAAATTGCATATACCTCTTCACATTAGAAGTTTGAAGATCTGCTAAACTAGTGTAATTTAACTAACATAAAAGAAGAGGTTAAACATGTTTATTTACATCTCTGTTTAGTTTACTAGTATCTATGATGAGAAGCAAAATGAAGATCACTTGATGGGCTTTGTCATACTGCATGGTTGCGATTAGACTGCGAGGATAAGCATTTGGCTGTAAAAACATATGGAGGCTACATGATTAATCTTTCTGTTCCAGGCAAAAGGCACATATTTTCACACTCCCATGTTTGTCCCATCAGTTTCTGAAGGCAGAAAAACTAGGAATGAGATGGGGGAATACTTCATTGTTAAAAAAAATTTAAAAGGGAGGTGGTGGGAGACAGAAAAAAAATGAAAAACTAAGAATAAATTGTGTAGGTAGATATCCACTGAGTATTTAGTAAATGGTGAAGGAGCTTGTCACATCAAGACAGACATGTGATTATTCCTGGATCAATAACATTTTGATATGAGATACTGTTCTTCTGTTTGTTTGTTTTCAATGTAGGTCCTGACCAGATACCCCTGAGGGAGGAATTTGAGCAGATCATGTTGAAAGCTATGCAGGAGTTCACTCTGAGAGAGCGATCCTTGCAGATGAGTGCACAGTGTATCTCTGTGTCACCAGGTCAGCTCCCTTGGCTGGCTAGGTTAATCGCTAGCGTGTCCCGGGACCTTGTACACGTGGTCATTACTCAGAATTCGCTGGCGGAGGGCATCTCGGAGACCTTGAGGTCCCTCAATGAAATGAAACATCAGCAAAAGCTACCAGATTATGTAGTTGCCATTTGTGCGTCAAAGATAAGAGGAAACGAATTCTGCGTAGTAGTCCTAGGTGAGTGTATTCACAGTACACTTCTTATACCAATGCAATTTTGCTGAATTAATTTTCTCTAATTGTTGTTCCAGCTTTTAAATTCATTTTGTTCTTTTTGTTCTTCTTCGTAATGTTATACTGCAATGTTGCAGCTTACTATTCCTCCACCAAGACTTGGAGTCCGTGAGGATCTAGAAAAACAGCTGTATGCTAGTAATCACTACTCCTTGAGAGGCCTGACACTTTACTGTTTGTGTGGTTACCTTAGAAACTATTTTGAAGTGACCCAGTGACAAAATAGTCGGTTTGCCTTTCTCTGTTTTGTGTAACAGCTGTTTCATGTGGCAATATTGGATTGGCTGCAGTCTGCTGCAGACCACTGTAAACCAGAACATGCTTTTTATCCTTTTTACCCTGTTGATTTTCAAATTCCACATTGGTGACTGTGATACTTAATGTGTGCATGAATGAGCCTGCGTGGAAGAGAATTTTGACTCGTGATCTTTCCTTTGTAAGCCGATAAATCAGTAATGTTAATTTTTTTCCTTTTTTTTTTTTTCCACACTAGGAATACTTACTTTTTCATATTTACCCAGTATTCTCCATTCCATCTAAGGTACAAGTACTGGTTTGCCTAACATTTGTCACCCAAGTGTACACAACAATGAGTAACAGCTTGCAAAGGATGTGCTAAACTGCTATAACTAAATCTCCCATCACTAATGGAATAGACTCGAGACTGCTGTCCCAGTCTCCTAGGTTAACTGAAGATCAGCGTGTCCCACACTTTGAGGATGAAAAGATTGTGCTGTTGCCCTGTATTAAAGATCGCTCTTGCTTTTCCCCCCTCTTCTCCAGGTCAATATCAATCCAGGGCACTTGCAGAAAGCATGCTTACCACCAGTGAATTTTTAAAAGAGATCAGTTATGAGCTCATCACGGGGAAAGTTAGTTTCCTGGCATCGCATTTCAAAAATACTTCTTTAGGTGAGTGATCCTAAGAAACAGAAGTTCTAGCCAAGGCAGTAATTTCCTTAGGGTTGGTGTGTCTCCTGTTCAGCATTTACATGAACACAGCTCTGCCCTCTCCACCGAGAGGCATTCTTCCATTTTCTCTATTCACAGCGTGTAAAGGAGTGCTCATGCCCCTCGCCCCATGCGGTGCGAGTTACTCATCCCTTGGCAAAACATTTTTAACACTGTTTATACTGTTGAATATGACAGCAGGGCGCCCGTAAATGCATTAGTTTTTTCTTGTTTGTGCTTTTAGCACGGGTTTTAAAGGTTGTTTTGTAGCGTGTATTTCTTTGTAATGATTAGGTGTCACTGCTTGCTGTAAAGGCACAGAGCTGAAATCATTCAGCTGTAGTTTCTTTTTTTTGGAATTCATTCAACTGGCAAATCAGTAAATAAAAGAGAAGAATATTCTCCCTCCCTTTCTTCCCTGTTATCTTCAGTCCCCTGCCCTTGCTCAGATTCGACATCAGCTACGTGAGAACACGTGTGTCTGTGTGTGATGTTCTACCTCATTTGTCTGAAACGGCTTTCAGATAATTTGGTGTTGCTAATTCTTATCTAGGTGATGATTTGGACAAGCTGCTGGAGAAAATGCTACAACAGCGAGGGGAAAGTGTCATTATTCCTTTTAATGGAGATGTTAGCGAGTGTGTGTCATCTCAGGAGGCAATTGCTATGGTTTCTACGCAAGAACCAGGTATTTTTTTTTGCATGCAAGATGTGAAATAAGTGAGTGGTTTGTTAAATGCCAATATATGTGGGCCTCAGAACAGTCTGAGGACACAGCTTCAGTCAGTGTCCCAACCTTCAAATATTGATACTACCAGGTAAACGTACCAATACAGCAGACTCTCAGGCAGAAAATCTCTGTAGTAGCCTTCAGTGACTTTTTCTCCTATATTTTATAATTCCTAAGCTAAAATAAGCTTCTGTTATGTACTAGGCAGAGTAGAGAAAACGTTCCTTTGTAACACTGGTAGTGTGGCCTCACCCTTTTGCACCCAGAAAAGGAATGTAACCTTTGGTTTAAGGCAGAAGGGAACTGTGTTCTGATTCTGATCTCCCCAGGTGTCCTTCTGTTTCTTAACTTTTGATATTCCTCACTTTTCCACGTGTAAAACTGTAATAAAATGTACTACAGACTTGTGCTCCGAGGCTTCAACTTTTAGGGAAGTGTTTTAAGATCTTGGACTGAAAGTGCTAGGCACCTCTAGTTTGCTTGTTTGAGATGTGTCTTATTCAGCACAACGTGATGTGATACTTAGGTGCAAAAGATGAGCTAGGATTGCCTAGACTTCACCTTTTTGGAATTCTTTCACTACTCAGAGTTTTAACCATACTTCCTTTTTCATGTGACAGTAATGGTAAAAAGATACACTGAGCGCACTTTTAGATCTAGCGTCAAAGCAAATTCAACCTTTTAAAATTCAAATTCAATCTTTTAAACTGTGAAAGAAATGTATGCTCTAGATCCACATTAGTTAGCTTAAATTAACCAGCTTGGTGTTAGAGCTGAATGAAGGCAAGGTGGTTTATAGCCTCCACATGGATCAGGAGATCCACTGAGGAAGGTACTTTGTTCTGGCACCCCCAGAAGGACAAGTCTTGAGCTTCCTTGCAGGGTTAACTGGAAGGAAGAAAAATCTTTTGATTCTGCGATTTCTTTTTGTTCTTACTGTGTAATGATGAGCAGCAGTGCTTTTTTAAAACTTTCATGTTTTCTCAAACAATTGTTTAGAGCTAGTTTTGTCTTTAAAATATGACTGTACAATGATTTAAGCTAGTGGGAATCTGCCTGAATTAAAAAAAAAAAAGGAGAGATAAGTCTCCTAGGCAGTGAGAAGGACCTTTTTCCCATAGTAGGTCTACTGAAGTGAACATTGGGGCAGGTTTGAGCAGGAGATAAGTGGAGGCACACACTGTATAAAACTAACGTACCAGATTTTTGCCCTAAAAGCCTTCCAGTTTTCATGTAAATTGGAAGATTTTGTCAAGTGGCTTATTACTTAAAGCAACAATAGTTCTCATGTTTTAAATTTGAGGTAGTTCTGGAATTTTTTTCCTTTGTAATTTTTTTTTAAGGGATTTGCCATAGGAATGTTATTGGAAGAACTACAAGTTTCAGGAGGAGTTCAGAGCTATGTGTGTATATTTGTATAAAAACACATATTTTATGTATGTTTATATGTACACCTTTTACATATATTTTACTATGTATGCACACGTATATACACATACGTATTATGTACGTGTTGGTTGATTTAACAGAATGCATTTCACTATGTTGGTGTTGAGTCTTCCTTATGTTGCACTGTGAAAAGTCTTCAGCACTTATGGCGTTTAAAAAATGGGCAGTGCTATACTTAAGATCTGATATGTAATCGTATTTTGATCAAAAAAAAGCAAATTGACACTTGTGATCTGTACCCAGCTCTCCAGAGTGTTGGGATTTATTTTGGTGATTGATTTTTGATTTTTTTCTGATTATAGAGGATAGACTGTTTGGAGGGTCATGTTTATTGGGGGGGTGGGAAAGTAAACATGTTTCTTGTTGTGTTTTGTTTTCTTTTTCAAACAAATACACTCCAGATTTGGATGTTGATACCTTCCAAATTTACCAGCCACAGCTTACAGTTGCCAGAAAGCTCTTGTCCCAGGTTTGTGCTATAGCAGACAGTGGCAATCAGAGCCTGGATCTGGGCCACTTCAGCAAAGTAGACTTCATCGTTATAGTTCCCCGATCAGAAGTGCTGGTGCAGCAGACGCTTCAACGGATCCGACAATCAGGTAAAAGGGAGGGGAGGGAAAAGAGACAGTTAAACTGAAGCATCTGACATTGTTAAGTCACTTATGGTATAAATGGAGAGGCGAATTGCTGCAACATGTATTTTGCATGTCCAGGGTTAGCTCCCTTCCTTGATATTGTTGGTGAATGCTGAATATCTTCCTTCCTTAAACTGGGCCCAAGCTGTGCCGTGTAAGTGTCAGAAGAAATTGCCTTGTTCATGCAGGTCATTTCCACTCTGCACTGAACAGTCCACACTTTCTGATTGTGCAGATATGCCCTGATATTGCTTAATGTTGCGGTCCATCTCTGTATTTTTTTCTCTGCCTTTTACTATTTTACTAGTAAAATGAAAAGAATAGTTCACTCGAATTATGGGTTTCCTTTCCTTTCTAACATAACTTTATGGGGTTTTCTGTTCCATTTGTTGTCTCTTCAGGCATTTTATTTACTTAATTTGCTGCTACACTAAACCAGAGGTTTTCTGATATCTCTTAACAGGGTTCACTTTTATGTTTTTTAAATGAATGTTCTTACTTTTAATTTTTTAAAATTCATTAAGATCCTGGCAAATACATAGTTGACCCACATTTCATAGTGGTTTGTTGCTACTTTAGTTCAAATGGTGTTCAAAGCCATATACGTTTCATCGTGCCTACTTTGTAAGGACAGATTGCCATCACATTCATAAAGAGTGCTAGGGAGTAGATGTATTGATAGTCACATTGAAGCAAGGCACAAAAAAAAGGGTACGATTTGATACGATATTAGTGAGAGTCAGTTTTACATACATTTATGGGTTTTTGCAAAGAAGAGGTCAGGATAACTTTTTCTGACTCAAGTGGGATTAATATATTACCTTAATGTGAACAAGTTTGGCGTAGAACCATGGAGCATGGCCAACTGGGCACTGATCTGGAAGTTTTTATGGAGGACTAAAGTATTTTTTTTTCTTTTTGGTAACATGAGAAGTCTTTGACAGATCTTCAGGCACTCTTTGGAGAAAATTCAGAAGCCAGGAAACACATTTTGATCCCATTATGAGAGAAAATGGATTCAGACAATCATCTTCCTACTAGGGTATATCAGTGATTTAGCCAAGTACTGATATTGGTGGACAAGTGGCAACCTACTATTGACATGTTTTTGGATGCACTCAAAGGAAAAGATTTTTGTTATATTCCTCTTTCTGGCAGGTGTTCTTGTGGACTTGGGCCTAGAAGACAATGGAACAGCGTATCAGAGAGCTGAGAAATACGTGGTTCGTCTAGACAATGAGATTCAAACAAAATTTGAAGTTTTCATGAGACGAGTGAAGCAGAATCCCTACACGCTGTTTGTGCTGGTCCATGACAATGCCCACGTGGATTTAACAAGGTATCTGCTTCAATCTACCAAAAGAAAAACATCCTCTTCCAGTATCTTCCAGTTAGGTTTTTCAAAAGACCATCTTGGACACCCAGTGCTTTCTCTCGGGCTAAGGTATTTTGTGCCTCAAAATCAGAATTCATCTTTTTTGCTTGCCCATATTTGTTAACTAAATCTGATTCAGCTGAAGACAGGTGAGACTAGTTTCAGATGTTTGGATCCCAAACAAGATTGTTTGCAGGGGTAAGTGCTATTATACTGAAGTCCAGGAAAAGGGGCAGAATTTTGCAACTTTCTTGATTCTGACATTCTTGTTTTTCCTATTCTACCCCTTTTTCTCTACTTAAATCACAAGCCACTTAATTCATGTTTTAATTCATGTTTTTATCCTTGATGATAGTGTCGTTTTTCATGTAAGAAAGCTTACAGACATTTAACTTTTTGCATCATCTGAAAAATGCCTTAGCCACTGTAAGAAAAGGATTTAAAAACCAGCTGTGTTGGTTTTGGCCAGCATTAAGTCTGAACACACCACCACGTACGCCCATGCAGAAATGTTTCTTCACATCTTCACATCACAACTTTAGAATGGAAAAAGAAATAAATAACTAAAGCTAATTTTTCTGCTCTTGTTCCATGAGTAATCTAAGGAGAAAAATCTTAATGTGATTTAGACATGGTGTGTGAGGCTGGGGGATTAATTTGAATATCAGAGTTAAAATAAAACAAATACTTGCCTTGCAGGACCGCTGAAACATAGATAAAAGCAACATTCTTCATTCCTTATCCCCACCGTCACATTTTTGTTGCTGTCTTTGCTTTACACTGAATTTGGAATTTCTGAATATCCTGGAGGTGAAGATAATACCAGGGGCTGAAAATCAGGACATCAGGAGACTGGGAGATTCCCCAGTCTTGTTAGGAGTATGTTGTTTCAGGCTGGAAAATCCACTGGATTTTGTAAAATTGTTGCTATATCCTAACCCCCACAGCTCATGCAACAGTGTTTCTCGGTTGAGAGGGATTTCATCAGCTTTGGCTCACTTTTTCTTTCCTCCGCCTCACTTTTTGTTTCCATCAGGAAAAAATTTTAAATTGGCACCTTCTCACAGACAGCAGATATTTGACCTTTATATAGGGGTTTTTTTTCCCTCTGTTGCTTGAGTCTGCCTAGAGACAACACTCAAGTGGTTTTGACGTCTTTCACCTCTCCAAAGATATTTTTGAGCTGTGATTCTCAGTGCTGTGATCATTTGGAGATTTTTCTGCAGGAATAGAGTAATCCGTTGAATCTCAGGATGTCAGTAAGGCAATTCTTTGCATTCTTATTTCTGCAGTGCCATTTCAAGTTCCCTGTCACATGGTGAGCCTAGTCATGGTCTGGCTGATAGAGTTATTAATTGCAGGGAGGTCCTTGAAGCATTCAACCTGCTTGTTCTTCAGGTCAGCTCTTTTCCTTATGCCTTGCAAACGCAGCAGTCCAGAATCAGCTCTAGCAATGAGGTACATTGGATACAATTTGATGCCATGGTAAGTGTTTAATTGTTAATTTTAACAGTGAATTTTACTTCAGTGACTTCACACCTGAAGGAATCTAGCAGATGTGTGTTAAAGAAAATTGTTAGGGGAGAGATCTTACTCTGCTGGAGTTTGTTCTCTTGGGCTCTGGATGAGATGCTGGGAGGCTGATGGTAGAGGTAGCACTGCCATTTAGGCCCAGGAACTGCACATTTTTCTTTGTCCAGTCGTTTAGTATGAGAAATTACTTTCTACACTCTGGTCAGAAAAAGCTATGTAGACACGCCATACAGCTCTGGAGCTGGCTTTCCATTTTCAAGCAGTCTGTCATTGGTCAGTTATATGTTATGTTTTGTAAGTTACGTGTCACCCAGCCTGTCAAATCTGTTCCTTATGTCTCTGGTGCTAATAAAAGTTGTCCGATAGATTAACAGGTTATTAACAAGTACTGTCATTGTGCAGGGAAGAGGTGGGAAAGGTCTGTTTGGTGTTCTGTGCCGTTAACTTCTTTCACCGTTTCAGCCAGCTGATTCTGGAGACGTTTTGCCTAAACGTGCTTTAGAAATATCCTTTTCTCCTGTTTGTTTGGTTTTTGTATATTTATCTCAAGTTTGACTTTACTGTGTTGAATGGACCATTGGTGGCTCTAAAGTGTCATAAAGCAGTAGCTGTAAAAAATAAAGTAAAAGAGAATAGTGGAGGTGAAGGAGTGAATGAATATTCCAAGTTTGCTTTTTGGTTGATTGTTAATATAAGTCAGTGTAATGACCTTCTGTAAAATAATCTAGACAATCACCAACTTTCAGTCTTCTGATTAAAAAAAAAAAATTGAAGACTCTATGTGATTAATTACATTCCTTGTGATTGCTGCTGATGTCAACATACTGGAGACCATGCTGTGCTTCCAGCAAAGGCCTCATGAAATTTGAGGCAGTAAATAATCTGCTTTTCTGATTGCTGTCTGCAAATTTACATTCCAGCAAAGAATTTATTAGTTTCTGATTGCCATTAAACACGTGTGGAATATGACAATCAAGAAGAATTTTGGAAAGTAATAATCCTTCTTTTTTCAGGTTCTGCTTTAAATAGAGTTGAGAGAACAGTTGTTAGATATAAAGTCAGAGCTAGGGAGTCAGAAATAATGAGCAGGATTCTAGAAAGCCCCTGCAATCCCATGTAGGAGATATACTGAAAAATTTGCAAGGACCTACATCTGTGTTTCTGATCTGTAGACAAATCTTAGATTCAGTAAAAAACAATTTAAAGTTTGTTATATTCTTTGAAAGAAAAATATAGTATCACTGAGGGAGAATGTGTGAAAAGAAAGAATACTTTTCTTCGGAACATAATTTCCACTTTTTAAATTACAAAAGAAATTAAAATTGGTTCCAGTTTTCCTTATGTTTTTGCTGTCTCTGTGTGAAACAGGATGACACAGCCAGTGAAGACAAGCTGTACTTTGGTTTGAATGAGTACAGCAAATCCCTCCAGTGGGGAGTCACAAGTCCTCTTCTGAGATGTGATGAGACTTTTGAAAAAATGGTCAACACACTTTTAGAAAGGTAAATAGTAATGTGGGAACTTAGGATGCTGCTTAATTGGGATCTTAAGGATATAGCTATATTGATGAGCTCTATCATAGGGGGATGACAACATGATGGCTTTGATGTTGATCTTGGAATCTGTGGTGCATGAGTAGCACTCAAGGCATAATACATTGTTTTTTTTCTGTATTATGGTGGTGAGTGAACTCATGGAGAATTTCTAGAAATGGAGTGCTTCTTCGCTTGAGTAGGTTTTAAATTTCTTTTTTCCTAGTGTTTTACTTTATGAGTTCATATCTGTTGTCACTGCATATAGCTGTAATGAGAGAGAAAGATGCATATAGCTATGTAAGTTAAAAGGCAAAATGGAGTTCAGATTTGACTCGGAGCTGTCAATTCCTATTGGCAGGTCTAGCTTTCTGCTGAGAAGTTGAGAGATGTGAAATTAAGTGAAGTACTTGTCCACAAACCACTTGAGCAGCAGCGGTCCTCCTGCTTTGTAGAACAAAAAACTTGTGGACAGCAAAGCAATTATTAGCCTGTGCTCTTGGAGTGACCTGGATCTGAGATGATCCTTACCTCCATCACGTTAAAGATCTTTAGCTGCAGTTTTGGCTCAGATGAGGGCAAGAGGAGTTTCCAATTCCTGTTACTTGAGTGCAAGACATGGCTCTTTATCTTCTGCATTTGGGCCATGTTATATTCATTTACTTAAAACACAGTTAGATTTTGTGCAAAATAGTTGTTCATGAAAATAGAAGGCTTCATTCTTGCAGTGCTACTGAAAAAAGTGAGCCCTTCTTTATCACAAAGTCCTAGTTTTCAGCCATTACTGTGATTTTTCACGTGTTAATGCAGAACTGTATCTCCTCAAAGGTACCCCCGGCTGCACAGCATGGTGATTCGCTGCTACCTTCTCATTCAGCAGTATTCCCAGGCTCTGATGGCTCTCACCACGGTGGCCTCACTAAGAGATCACAGCACACCCGAAACGCTCAGCATAATGGACGACCTCATCACCTCTCCAGGAAAGGATAAGAACGGCTGCGGCCACATGCTCGTCATTAGGGTGCCGTCTGTGCAGCTGGCCATGCTGGCCAAGGAGAGGTTACAAGAAGTAAGAGACAAGTTAGGTCTGCAGTATCGTTTTGAGATCCTCCTCGGGAATCCTGCCTCAGAGCTCACTGTCGCGAAACACTTTGTGATGCGGTTGAAGGTTAGCAGAAACTAAATATTTCTTTGTACACCCATTGTAGTCACCTGTTGTACACTTTTTGTGTTCATTCCCACATGTTTATACGTTAACTGTTCTGTTGGAAAAGGGTGCATGTTTTGTATCTGTCTACATGGAAGCTTACTGTACCTTTGATAAGCACAAATGGTTTAGAAACTTGGAAGAAAACTGCATTGTTAATGGCCCATGAAGTCAAACACTGGGTGTCCTCTCTCTTGTTAAAGTTGAATAACAGCATGAGTCAGACAGGTTTTGTGTCTAAATTTCAGAAAGCAGAGCTCAGACCTCCTTAGGCAAACTAATTCTTTCCACCAACTTATCTGTCTGTCCAGTGTGTGTGTTGTCTGCTCTGTCCATCTGTCTTCTGCCCTTCTGATTACTGGTAAAGTATCCTGTTTGACGTAGATTTCTTTTCTTAAACCCCTGCATGATGAAAGCCTCTTCTGCACGGTGTATATACACTGAGTTAAGCTTCTGCATGGATTTATAAGAGCATGGTTCAACTAGCCAAACCCACTTCCTGAATTTACCTCACTACATTAAACAGAGGGAAACAGATTGCCTGCCTTAGGCACCAGCCTGAAAGTAACTTTGGTTATCTGTCCTGATCCTTGCTCTAAGACTCACGGAGATACTAATTTTCCATTTCCTCTGTGAGTTACACAGTGTATTCAAAACCTCACAGAAAAGGAGTGAATTTTCTGAGTCTTTCCGAAAGACAAACCAAAAGCAGGTAGAGTGTCCTTTAAAGAAGCTACAACCTCTGGTTCTCAAACCTTTTCGGCAGCAGGAGAGGGAAGAGGAGAAAAGGAGAAAAGAACATGTGAGACAGCAGCTCTGTGGCAGGCAGGAATTCCTGCCTTAAATCTTTCTGGACTGTGGTTCCTTTGAGGGTTTCTTTATGGCCCTTTGCTGTAAAGGGCTGCAGCCCTTAACATGTTGCTGGAACAGCCTGTGAGGCACTGAAGTGCAGATCAGGATGGAGTGTGAAGCCATTGCAGGTGACTATCCATGTAGCTATTGATGTGAAACAGGAATTTGATCAGGAAAGGAATAAAAAACTCATAAATGTTTTTTTCTTATTCCTCTCCCCCACAACGTAAGATGCTTTTTTGGCGTAAACAAAGTTGTAGGATTCTGGACTTGTTTCTTTCCTTGCAGGTGGCTAGAAAAACACACTCAATTCTGAAATATGTGTATGAAAGGAGTGAAGAGAGAAATTCCTTGTCCAAAAATAACACTATAGTGTCTTTTTAGGTGGGTTAGCACAGTGGCGCTCCAGGATGATGAAGGTCACCTGTGAGTCTGGTGCCTGGGAAAACATAGGGTGTCTGAAATGGTGTGAGGATATGTTTGGACAACTGATTCCCATTATGAAATTCACCAGCCATGCTATCATTGAGTCTATTTTATTGCAAACGGCTTTCATTTAGTCTCTGTGCAGCTTGGCTTTTCTCCAGCTGTTAGATGGAGCACTGAAGCTGGAAGACTAGAGCAAGTCCTTAGCAGAAAGAAAATCAACTTTGTATCTATCTTCCCACTTCATCTTCTAGCCATGCACTTTTGCAGAAACTTCTGTCATGGGAAAGGCAGGATAACACACAGCCAGACTAATCCTGCCAAGCCAGAAGATATATCTCTGCTGCTGAGGCTGCTTTACTGAGCCAGTAAATGTTGTTAGGTCGTTGAAGAAGCAATATTTTCTTGGTGAACATGGTATACAGAGGATGCTGAAATTGGCAGGGGAGAGAAATCAGGACTGGGGAAAGAGAGTAGAGCCATAGCAGAAAAGGGGAATGTTACTCCAGATCATGCTCTTTCTAAGCTAAGAAAATAAGTCATAGAGTTTTTTTCAACAGAAATTTTCAAAAGGTCATATGACACAATGAGTCACAGATCCACTACTGAGTCCTCCTTTTCAATCTCCTACATCTGCCTGAGAAGACGACTCATAAAACATGGCCTTCCTGGGAAAGAAAGGAGAGAACAGGTCAAGGGTACAGGTTGAGACTAGAAGAACCAAGAGGGAAATCAAGATAGAATTTTTCTTGCAAAGTATATTTTCCGCAAAGCTTGCCCAAATCTTGTTGCTCTGTCACAGCTCTCTCATTGTCTGCGCTGAGAAGAGTCACATATATATTGTTTTTAATGGGCAGTTTGAGCTGTTGGGCTTGCTGTCATGACTGAGCAAAGTAGGTTCTGTGCCCCAGCTAGGTAAGAGCCTTCTCCAGAAATGACTTTGTAACTGTGACGATTCTGTAACCGTGAAGGCTTAATTTCTTTGTGTGGAGAGATCTTAATGTCTGATCAATGTGGAATTGTGAAGTCTCTGGGTAATTCCACAGGCCTTCGTAAACTGTAGGTAAAGAGTCCTTTCTTGTGACATTACCTCCAGTGAAAGGCAATTTTTTTTTTATTTTGTATAATCTTTCATTTTATAGAATAATTAAGCAAATATTTGGGGATCATGGAGTCATTTACCTACTCCACTTGAAGGACTTGCTTTAGCTTTATGTTCATTTAAAAGAGCTTTTATTTATGCCAGCTTGAAATCAAAGGCATAAAGTGCATTCTTCTCTGACAGACCACACTAATACTACACCAGGTGTATGTTTCCAGCACTGAATAACATATGCTATGCATTCTTTTTCTGTGCATTTAATGCTTGGCTAACACTTCGCTTCCAGAACAAATGCATGCCTGTGCCTAAGGTCGCCTTCCTGGCTGTTGGGTAAGCGAACTCTGTATACAAAGGAAAAGCAGGAACTTAAAAAAAAAAAAACACAAACAAGCAAACCAAAATAAACCAACCCTGAACAAAACAGGTGAAAGTTTATGTGTCATTTAAATGTGACTGGAAGTTTCTCTGTTCACAGGCTTGGAGGGGAAATGAGCAGGATGACTGGATCCCTCGGACCTATCAGGATTTAGAAGGTCTACCTTGCATTGTTATTCTGACTGGCAAGGACCCTCTAGGAGAAACTTTCCCCAGGTGCTCTTATTACTCTTGCAATGTGGTTGTTCTTTAACATGTTTAGATAAGATGAGGAGTGGATAAGCGGTTTGATAATATCTGGATACTTTTTCATCAAAGAATGTATTTTTGGCTTTATTTGAGAACAGTTTAAAATTTAGGAAAGTGCAGTTTATGAAAAGTAAAGCCACTGTACTGTGTGGGTCAATGAATGTCTGGGCAAAGTACCAAGGAGCATAACTTATATGCTGAATATTTAAAAAACATTTTATATTTACTGACTAATTCATGAATATATAATAATATCAATTAAAGATAGGGAGTATATTCAAAAACCAAAACTTTCTTTTTTCTTGGGTTGGGTTTTCTAGGTCGCTGAAATACTGTGACCTTCGACTAATTGACTCAAGCTATTTAACTCGGACTGCGTTAGAGCAAGAAGTAGGCCTGGCATGCTGTTATGTCTCGAAGGAGGCAATTCGAGGGCCTATTGTAGCTCTTGACCTTAGCGAGAAGGAGCATGAGAAGGCTAATGGTAGTGAGAATGACTCTGACGAGCTGTTGATAGACTTGGACCGACCCCAGAGTAATAGCAGCGCTGTCACTGGAACCTCAGGTCAGTTATTCTTCTGTTGCTCTGAAAAACAAGTCCTGCGTCACTGGGATTTGAATGCAAACATTGAGACGTTTAGTCAAATGTGGGTTGCTTAGCTGCATCGTGCTGCAAACAAGTCCATGAAATGTTAGCAGCAGATTCTTTCCACAATGAGCAGTTTTCCTGTGTACAACTAAAAGAGGGTGGTGGGGCAGTGGGAGGATGGTATGCTGTAGCTAAGGGCCTCTTGCGAGTCTTATTTTTAAACTTACATCTCATACTTGCTGCTAATTTCGTCTAGTGGATCTTGAAAAGATCTTAAAAATCAGAGTAGAAATGGTTAGTGTAATATTTTAAGAATAGAAAAAATTCTCTGTAGCTGCGGGGGTTAGCTGTGGCTGAGGATGGATATTTGCCTCCTTGCCAAGATGAACAGAATGGCTGGGTCTTGCCCTACCCCTTCAAGCATCAGTGGAGCATCATCTCACACCAGGCCTTTCTTTCCTTGCATTTCTCAGGCACTTCTGGGTCCTTCCCTTTGTTTTTCCCTATGAGTATGACATATCAAGACAGCTGAACTGGGCATTTGCCGTACACGAGATCTTTCCATACACCAACTAAACCTGACTGGTACAGAGGAAAGAGCATAGCCGAGTTCATGCTCTAGTTGCAGGGAGATGGGCGTTCTGTCCTCCATGGGAGGTAGCGACAATCAATCTGTGTATAAAGTGGTGACTTATACTTGAATTTCAGAAGGTTGTACCATGAAATTCCAAATCCTAGATGAGGAATGACTGCTATATGGAGCATAGCAGTCATTTGGGATTGGGACACTTCTTTTTGGACTCTGAACCCTAACAGAAGGGCTGTTGCCTCTCCAGCAAGAGGGACAGATGGGTGTCAATGAATTCTTTTTCAGTGGTGAAACACTGACCTGAACTACAGGATGAGCTTTCCCAGCAGCACTCCCTGAGCAGAATCATAGAATCATAGAATGGCCTAGGTTGGAAGGGACCTTAGAGATCATTTAATCCAACCTCCCTGTCATGGGCAGGGATGCCACCTCTTGACTAGACCAGGCAACACATGGGGACTGAGCAGGAAGTGTTTGAAGGTTAGGATTGTCCCATAGGTCACTGGTGTCTTTGCATTTTCTTATGTCAGCCAGTATCTGTTCAATGCCTGCCCTTTGTTTCCCTAGGCTCCCTGGCAGACAATGGTGTGAGCTCCTCAAGTGCTGCAGACAAATCTCAGAAGCAAGCACCGTCACTTAACTTCCAGACTGTGGTGCACAGCTCAGTGGATGAGGGAACTTACCCCAGTTTCACAGCTGGAGACACCCTGAAACAAGAATGTGACTCCCTGGGTAACCAGATGGCGAGCAGCACCACTTCAAAACTATCGTCGCTGTCTTCGGTCTCCCAGACGTTTCGGTGGCCTAGCCATTCGTCCAAAGACAGCAAGGCCCTCCGTGCTGCGCTGCCGCGCATTGTCATCCTGTCGAAAGCTGCCTACTGCCTCCTGAGCTCGCAGAAGAGTGGGAATTTGCCTTCCTCCTCTTCCCTCCTGCCTCACGCTGACGTGTCGTGGTTGAGCTCTCTGAGGCCTCTGCTTCACAAGGACATGAACAGTGAAGAGCAGTCTCTCTACTACAGGCAGTGGACAACAGCCCGGCAGCACCACGCGGACTTTAGCAATCAGGGTGAGACATCTGGCTCCAGGAGTTTTCACCCCAGGCGGCTGCTTTTGACGGGACCACCACAAGTAAGAGAACAGTTCCTTCCTCTTGGCTTATTAACAGGATGAGAGGACCAGTGATGAGGGCTGCAGATCGTACCATAAAGGCTCCCTGCAAGGTTGCACAGGGTTGCGCACAGTGATGTGGTCAAAAATCAGGCAAATTTTGAGGTTAAGTCCATGCTGGAAACGGTAAGGAGCGGGAGGGTGATGCTATATGTCCACGTTTTAGCCTAAATGGGATAGTTATGGCTGGTGCTGAGTGTGTGAGTAGAGGAGCAGTTGTCACTGCCCATCTCGCTTTGTACAGAAGTGACACAGGCTGTGGGCCAGGTTGCGCTCACAGATCCTTTTTGTAATTCTGTTCAACATAACTGGCAATATTATGTCTTGCGATGTTTCCAGGTAGAGCTAGAGTAGGGTAAGCCCAAAGGCATTTTTCTGAAATGTATCCTTCCTTCATACTGGTCTGAGTTGAGATTTGGACTTTTTTCTATCTCTGGCTCAGGTGGGAAAGACTGGCTCATACTTGCAGTTCCTACGGATTCTGTTCCGCATGCTGATCCGGTTGCTGGAAGTAGATGTGTACGATGAGGAAGAGATAAATGCCAGTAAGTATTTAGTAGTCATTCTTAATATGCATTATTAAGAGCCTCTTTTATGTACTATTCAGCAGTGACAAACGTTTAGGCTCACAGGAAGACTGTAAATGACACCTACCATTTGTCCTGTCCATTAGTGTGTAGCTAAACTTACTGTAGGTGCCTGCATGTGTTTAAAGATCGATAAATAAACCCAAAAGCTTTATATTAGGCTTAGCTGAGAACTATTACATGTATTTTGAATTTATATATTTGGATAGTGAACACAAAAAGTGAACAGTGAACACAAAACTATAAATGGGCAATATCTGCCCATGTTATCTCTCAAAAACTTTGCTATTATTTATGTTTACTTATATATGAAATGCCAGTTTTCAGTAAGACTGTCTTTGTCTGCAGTTTACAGACCTTATGCTGAGGAAAAAGCGGAGGGGGAGCCTCTTTGGATTTGTGCTCATTTGTCAGATCTCACAGATCTGTTAACTGCTAGGGCAAGACTTTGCCTTGAGAAGCATGAACCCTTTTAAAAATTAGTCTCTTCACGGTGTTGTTTACATAGCTCTGTGGTTTTGTAGTGAAAATAACTCCATGGTACATAAATCTCATGACCATTAGACTGGCATTCTGAAAATGTAGTTGTCAAACCTTTGAAAAGACTCATTTATATTTCTGCTCAGAAAGTGCTATTAAATCGGGGGGAAGAAGTGTTTTCCTTTGATTTGAAGCTTTGTGGCTTGTTATTCTCTTACTTGAACTGAAGTACCCTAGAAACTTAGGATGAAATAGCAAAATGTAAGAGAGGCTCTGTGTCATGCTGTCTGGCCTGTGATCACAGCCACATGTCAAACCCCCACCAGGAACGCATGGAGCTCCTGCAGAAGAGCAGTTTGGGTTTGGCTGCAGTTTTTGGTTGTGGCTTTTTCACTCCCACTACTTGTTATTGGAATGCTTTTCCAGAGCCCTTGTGTTGTGATGATTGAAAATACTATTTTGTTATCCAACCCTGTCCTGGTTATAAACGTTTTGTTTTTGAAAATCCTATTTTAAATTAAATACTTTTTTTCTTCTTTGATGTTTGCTTCTATGGTGTAGTCAGGCAACAACCCTACCCTCTCTGCATTCATCTAGGTAGTCTGGATCTTCTTAGAGGATCCTCACAAGTGACAAGCTCGTTATTGTCCTTATCAGTTTAGTAGCTCTTGCCTGTACATCTATTTTCTGTTTATCCTTCTGGTACGTGGGTGCACATGATATTCTGTGGGATGTTTAACCAACCCAGCATGCAACAGCTCGTGTGTTCCTCTGCCCCCACTGAAAGCCCCACGAGTGGTGAAACCTGTGATCACACTGAGCTCCTCCTTTCTCCCACCTCCCTGGCACCTACACATAGCTTGTACTCGTGGGTTCATCTGCAACCTGATCATTTCCAGCCGAGGTGCTCCCAACCTGTGGCAGAAATGTTTGTTATTAGTGCTTGACTGGACATACAACTCGCATTTTTTTCTGTTAAATATTACCACGTTTCTGTTGTTACAATTTTCAAGGGTGTTGAATCCTTTCTGGATAGTCTTCAGTTCCTTCTCCACACCCTTAGCCTGTGCCACCAGCAAACTTCTGCCAATGGTTTTCTTGCGTTGGTGACATTAGTGAAAATATTAAACTGTATGCTCCTCTGCTGAGCTTTTAACTTCATCGATAATCTCCATCTGCCTTAATGCTTATGATGTTACATGCTGCCATCTTCTGTTTAATCATCTTTTTCAATTTACTATTCACTATCCCCATTTTCTTCAGCTGTATTAATAATATGTCATTTAGTATCATATCAACTACTTACTAAGTCCAGAAAGATAAGATGTGTTGCATTACCTTCGGTCAGAGAAATAGACCTATCATAGCTGTCTAATGAAAGTAACACGGGATTTCTTTGGTCAAGCTGTGTTCCCTTTTATTATATTTTTCATTTACTTCAACATTTTTAATTATTTCCTCCACCTTCCCCAAGTTTTGAACGTCAAAGTAATGGACGCAGAGCTCTGTAGGTGTTATTGTGTCTCCTCTTAAATGATGATAATATATGCTCTATGCTTGCTATCCTGTCTGATCTCACATATTATTTCAGAAAATGGCACAGAGATTGTTCTTTCTCTCGGTTTTGAGTGTGTATCAAGCTTTTAGAGTTCTGTTTCCATCTTGACTTAAGGTAAACCATTTATTCCCTTGAAAACGTAGTCATCAAAGTAAAAAGAAAATGAAAAAAAATTATAATTTGTATAGGTGAGGTGATGTAGCAGAGAAAATTTTTATTCGTTTCCATGCACTTTTCTGAGGTCTACCTCAGAAAAGCTTATTTTATCTCACACATGTTGACATTTAAGACAAAACTTCATTCACTGATGAGATTTTTCCATTCCTCATGGGCTTTGTTCATTCTTAGTGTCCTTTCTGATGCAGTCCCTCTGCAGCCCCTTCCTCCTGGTATTCTTATTTGGCCTTTGGTATGCTGATTCCAGTTGTTAGGCAGCTGCGACTCCAAGAAATCCAAGTCTCATTCACACATTCCTGGTTTTCTCAGGATGGGTGACTTGCAGAGCGAGCTTTCTCAGGATTTGTCTGTATGGACAAACTAAGTTGCCTCACCTGACTGGTGACGTCTGTTAATTTGGGCATGGCACGGTGCTGGTGAGGTTAACAGCCTCTAACCAATCAGGTCAGTCTGGGTAGGGTGAGCATGTGCTTGTCTGTAGAACATGCCTTCATTTCGTCTGAATTTGCCTTTCTAAAATCAGTAACCTCATTTGCGCACCTACTTTTGTGTGTTCTTCCATCTCATTTTTAAACTGAATTGACTCATGTTCAGGCTGCAGTCTGAGGTAGTGTTCTTTGGCCAGTACTTTCTAATGTTCCTCTAATTTACAATTGGATTTTCCACTTTAGACCTATCAAAGCAAAGAAGTTTCAGTTGATCCTTGCTGGCCATATCCCATGATGAAACAGGTCTCTTCTCCAGTGTAAGAAGTAACAGAAGAAAAGGAAATGGCCTCAAGTTATGAGAGGGGAGGTTTAGGTTGGACATTAGAAACCATTTCTTTGCTAAAAGGGTTGTCAAGCATTGGAACAGGCTGCCCAGGAAAGTGGTGGAGTCACCTTCCCTGGAGGTATTTAAAAGCCCTGTAGATATTGGGCTTGGGGACATGGGTTAGTGGAGACCTGGCAGTGCGAGGTTAACAGCTGGACTTCGTAATCTTAAAGGTCTTTTCCAACCTAAACGATTCTGTGATTCTATGTAAACACCATTCAGTGGGAACCTGATACTGCTTACCTGAAGTGTGTTGTTGCAGATCATACAGAAAACAGTGAAATCACACAGTCTAGCAATGACCGCTGGCCGGACATTGAGATCTTCAGCAAAATGTCTTTTGACCTGAGCGTACATGACCCCAAGTACAGAACTATAAGTCCCGTGTACACAGAAAAACTCTCAAGAGTGAAACAAGGTAAGTAGAATGTATTTTCTTGGGAGTAGTTTTTCATGAAGAATCAGGTTTTATTGGTTTGGTTGAACTCGTGAGTTCACAAGAGAATTTAATGTTCAAAATGATACGAAACAAAACAATCTGTGTGTTCTTCACTATTGTTACCATGATCGTAGTCTATTTATTTTTTTTTAACACTTACAAAATTTCTGTTGCTTCTTTTCTTTGTGCACAGAAACAAGCAAAGAAACAAAATCAGAGGAACCTAAGAAAAGAGAGACCGTGTCCATGATGTTGACAAAATATGCAGCTTACAATACGTTCCATCACTGTGAGCAGTGCCATCAGTATATGGACATCAATCCTGCCGCACAGGTTAGTATCACGGCCCAAGGGTAAACTGTGTCCTTGATTTTTCTCCAGACATGTACTCCTCTGGTCTCAGGACTCGAGTTTTCACCTTCCCTGAGATGGAATTGTTTAATTCTTCCATTCTCAGGGGACATTTTGAGCTGCAGACCCTGGAGCAGCAGCTGTGTCTGCTGTGTTGTGCACGAGCAGTAGTGACAAAGGGTGAATGTCGTGACTAGTTTCCTCAAGCCGAAGTATTATACAGCCTGCCCAGAGGGTTCACAGTATCTCATGGGAGAGGACTGTAAAGTTAAGGAGAGATACTTGTCTTAGTTAAATGCCGGCCATGCACACCTGTCCTGGGAGACTGACTTCTTACTCCCTTTGTATCTAACTGTGCGTACTTCTCAGCAGTAGCTGATGAGCCACTGGACAAAAAATGATCATTTTTGTTAAAAAACCGTCTAGTTAAAAAACGTTTGATCTCTAAAACAGTTACTCTTGCAGGAGACTGGCAGATAAGATTATTCCTGGTTAACAGCTCAGACACTATTTCTTAACCGTCACCTATAGTTAACTTGGATATTTCTTAAATCATCTTCCTTGATTGCTCTTCTTTTCCAAGAGCTTGTTATTAAGCTGTCACAGGGTTGACACGCTGACCTGGCAGCGTGCAGTGTCAGTTCCCTCAAAGCAGCACCAGCAGGTCTGGTTTAAAGCTCATGCTTCATTAAGTACGTTGACACGAGTCCATCCTCCCAAAAGGCATCGGTTGTTCCCTCCGCTCATCTTTGTGCATGTGCTCAAACATAACGCGTAGAAATAAGTCTGAACATCTGCTTGTATGTGCAGGTGCGATTTGTTTATATATGATGATGACAATTGAACTCAGAGCAATGACACATGCGAAGGGGAGTCACTGGATAGCCAGCGTTACGGAATGCAGCAAGATTCTGAAATGCTTTAACAGAACCTAAATAAAGCCCTTTTCCTTTTTCATCTTTACCTAGGCCAATTATTGCAATTCTTCACGAAAGATTATAGAAAGCAGGTTGCTGAGAGTAAACAGTTTGGCCTTGTAGGAAGACAGATGCTTCTGTAGGATGAAATCTCATCCAGCTATGTAGGCACTTTGCAAACAATTACACGCTCCAGTGAAGTGCTGTGCAAACTTAGGCTCACCCAGATTCTTCTTAGCTTTGTTACTGGCATGGCCTGCTTTCATTGCCGAGTTGCTCAGAAGAGTATTGCCACAGGAAAAATACCGCACTGATGCGGCCGTGTTGCTGCTGGGGTGTCTGAATGTCGCACTGCGTTCTGCTGCGGAGGCACACCCACACCCTACACTGCTCTTTGAATCTTTCGGGAAAAAACCATTTGGACAGTTTGTTTCCAACTCTATATATCACTTCTTGGAAACATTGATAAATAATTTCCAGCTCAAATGAACTTTGGAAAAGTGCAGTTTGGCCAAAGATTGTTACTGGTACGGAAAGCTGGTTCTTTTAATAGCAAGGCCGGTTACATGCCTAAGTAATGTGGCTTACGATAGAGGAAAATGAGAATATAATAGACTTAACCTCAGCTCCTGAAAGAGAATGTTTTGAATGTTCTTCTCTGATGGCTTCCAGTATTGTGACTGTAAGAGCAGGTTGCCATATCCTGCTTATGTGTTACCTGCTTGCAAATATTTTTATTTTTTTTATACAGATATCTGACTCCACCCTGCATGCATTCACGTTTTCATCCTCGATGCTAGGAGAAGAGGTTCAACTGCATTTTATAATCCCCAAGTCCAAAGAGAACCATTTTGTCTTCAGCAAGCAGGGGAAACATCTCGAAAGCATGCGTCTCCCACTCGTTTCTGACAAGGTGCGTGTGATGCTCTTATCCATCTGCTGACTGTGTATGCTGAATGCAGTCAACCTGACTTGCGTTTGCAAATTAATGGCCGTTGCCTGGATGGTGTGTTTTTCTGTTTTCTTTACGTGTTAAAGTTCTTTGCATAATTTTTGCCTGACTGTACTTACAAGTGGAGTTTTTGAGGACAATCATCCCTTTTTGCATTCCTAGTGTCCAGTTCATGTGTGTTGCAATGATCAATAATCTTAAAATTCAATGTAAACTGTGAAAAAATAAAAATCCATGTTGGGAATAACGTGCTTTTTACCTAATGTTGCCAAAATACCTCCTGTTCCAGCAGAATCTGAATGCAGTCAAAAGTCCTATCTTCACTCCGTCGAGTGGACGTCATGAACATGGCCTCTTGAACCTCTACCATGCCATGGAAGGCATCAGCCACCTTCACCTCCTTGTAGTCAAGGAGTATGAAATGCCACTGTACCGTAAATACTGGCCCAACCACATCATGCTTGTCCTGCCAGGCATGTTCAACAACGCCGGCGTTGGTAAGAAACACCCTCAGTGCGTTGCTATGAAGGTGGCAAAATATCCATGTTGGACAGGGTGGACCGTGTTGTTGAAGGCATGATTGCAGCAGCCTCTCACATCCATACTGGGATAGTAGCAGCAATATCTGTGCAAAATACAATGTGTTCCAAGAACTGCTGTCAGGGCTGTGGAAGATACCTTGGTACTGACTGCTGCCGTCTCAGTTTAAAATCTGGTGTTTTAGAGACCATATTCACCCATTTTATTCAGCCCTCCTGTGTGAATGTTCATTCTAGACATTTTATTTATGATTTTTCATGTTAGAACTCTTTTAGTTCGCTGAAGCTAAATGTTAACTACAGCTGAACACTGGGGTTTGGACTTTTGATTTTTCTATTTTTTTTTTTAACTCATTTTCATGGATGCTGACTTTTTCCTGCAAGAAGTTTTAAGTAGCTTCAGTTTTAGAATCTCAGCCCTTTCTTGGTTCAAGTTACTTTATTAATGCCCACTAAATCATGTGCTGCAGCGTCTCTTAAAGGGTCCAGTCTTCTTGATATCTGCCTTTTAGATTTACTCACAATGAAAAGCGGCCATACTGTTTTCTTTTTAAACTAACCTGTTACAAGCACTATGAGTTCCTAAAGGATAATGACTTCAGATGTTCACGTGGCCTTTCTATGGGAAGAACAATAAAGTCCCATAAAGATCTCTCATGTCTTCTGTATGATATTTTTCTTAGGTGCTGCCAGGTTTCTTATCAAGGAGCTTTCCTACCACAATCTAGAACTGGAACGAAACCGCTTGGAGGAGCTGGGAGTCAAGCGCCAGTGTGTGTGGCCCTTCATTGTGGTCATGGACGACTCCTGTGTCTTGTGGAACATGCACAGTGTCCACGAGCAGTCGAGGTGAGTGACCACCCAGCACTGGGGTCCCTGTGCTGATCCAGCACAGACGGCAGCACACCTGCATGTTAGCCATCTCTAGCATCATCCAACAGGGTATGAAGGACCAGGCGACTGGAGAAGTTGGGCAGCTGGAGCTGCTGATAACATATTTGAAATATTGTTTACCCAAAGCAGCTTTTGGCACTGGCTTTGATGTAACAAGTCCAGGCTGCCTGTCCAAAGGCCCTCACAGAGATTGTTGTGCACTCAGTTATTATTCAGATAGCCCAAGAACTGTGTGCTTAGACATTAGATACATTGCCTAAAATGAAAAGAAAAAAAATCAGCTCTTCCACTCAGAGTGGTAGGAAGGCTGTAGATTTGTCTTCTCGACCACCAGCATCCAACCTCCTGCTGATGAACACTTCCACCTGGCTCTGCCTTTACATCCATGTCCCACAGTCAGTACCATCAACAAGCCTCTCCTTGTGCTTGGTCTTTGCCTAAACCCGTTCTTGCTTTTAGTGACAACTTGAGTGATTCCTCAAAGTGTTACTTCCCTGATTTGTTTTGATTCAATTTGTATTTCTCAATAAAAACAGCTTACTTTGGGAACTTTAGCTTTTTAGAAGACATTAAACTCTTGCCTTTCTCGGACCTTATGCTGTCCATTATGGAGAAAATAGCCTTCCAGAAATGATGTGCAAGGCAATTCCTTTTCCCTTTCTAAATTACTGTGTAAGACTTAATTCTGCTTAAAAGCTCATTTTCTTATAATGACTAAATTGATGGGATAAGATTAGTTGGCTGTTGTTTAAAAAGCCTGCATTTATGTGTATATTTTTACAGCATCTACAGTAAACATTCTTCATGGAATTTCTTGGTCCATTGTATGTGCGTATATGTACCTACATACAGTGTACGTTATATAAAAATTATAAGCTGTGTTTATATGTTGCATGTGATCACGGTTTGCAGCCAGTCCCTGGAACCCGGGTGTTCCAGCAAGAATGTGTCCTGCAGCACATTGAAGCCACCCCCAAAATTGTTCATTATGCAATACTGGGTGTCCAGAAATGGAACAGCAAACTGAATGCCAGGAAAGCAAAGGCTCCGTTTTCCAGGTGCCACGTGCGCGATTTTATACTGCTCAACATAGACCTGACCCAGAATGTGCAATATGATCAAAACAGGTAGGCTGTGTGGGTATGCACATAGACACATGGTAAAATGATATGCTGGCATGATGAGAGTCTTGTTGCCGTATTTCTGAATGTTGTCAAGATAAATAGAAGGATCCTGCCAGTGGTAATGAGCACGTAATCACAAAAAGAAAACACAGGGTGATGTATGTTGCATCTGAATAAATAAGGCATCAGAATAAACTTACCATCAGCCAAGAAAACTGTGAGAGACAGATGAGGCAAGGGTAACGGAGGGCTACAGAGGACTGAGAAGTCAGCCGTCTTCCCTGTTGCCACTTGGGTTTGCAATAATAACAGGTGAACTGTCTGCTATTTCCTTCCTTTTTTTTTTTTTTTTTTTCCCCTGTCTCCTCCCCTAACTCCATCCTAAAGCATTTACAATAAAGCTCTGTTATCATGGGGCTTTAACACTGCTTCTCATCACAGACTGAAGCAATACACGATTTCCCCCTCCCTGGCCAAGGGAGTTTAGAATAAACTCTGTACTGGTCATGGGCTGGCACTGGGGCATCTCACCCTCGCCTCCTGCTGCTGTTTTCAGTGAGGAGCTGCAGACTGTCGGTGCAGGCTGGGGACTGGTGTGGCTTCCAGAGCTCTTGATTTCACGTTCTCTGGCTGAATCATGAGCTGGGAATCAGCCCACAGAAGTGAGCAATTACCTCGTGAACAGCACGGGAGAAATGTTACTTCTCAGCTGTTTTGTCTCCAGTAGCCAAATATTTGTCAAAGCTGCTTTTATCTCCTAATTCTAGTTCATCAAAAAATTTGTCATGTAGAACTGGCTTGTTCAGAAATGGAGATTGGTCGCTTCAGAACTTCCCTCAGTTGTAAAATATAGATTGTGTAGAGAAGAAAAAAAAAAGAGAGATTGTAGAGGAAATGCCCGTACATGATGGGAGTGAGAGCACTAGCCAGACCTGGTATGGGGAGGAAGCACAGAGACACCCTGGGAAGTGAAGACTTAAGCTTTCCTACACTGGGAGCACGCTGAAGGAGTGAGTCTTCAGAGCTGTGCAGAGAGTTGAATCAGGCGCTGTAGCAGATGGTCTCCAAAAATCTCTGCTGAGCGCGTTCCAGTGCTTTGCAGCAGTGGGGGTGTGAGTGTTTGCTCATGTACAGCAGCTGCACAGCTGGTTTAGAGATCTTGTGTTGAATGTCCAGGTATTTCTGTGAAGATGTAGATTTTAACCTGCGGACGAACAGCAGCGGCCTGCTCATCTGCCGCTTCAACAACTTCAGTGTCATGAAGAAACACATTCAGGTTGGAGGACAGAAGGACTTTGTTGTTAAGCCAAAAATCATGGTGAGTGTGGACATGTGCTCTGTCACACGTAAAGGGTAAAATCGGGACTGGTTTCGTAGAATCATAGAATATCAGGTTGGAAAGGACCTCAAGGATCATCTACTTCAACCTTTCTTGGGAAGAGCACGGTCTAGATAAGATATCCAGATGGATCTTAAAAGTGTGCAAGAAAGGTGTTTTCCCTAGAAATAATGAATTCCATAGCCTTTTAGATTTATTTTTTACTTACTTGACATCTGACTATCATGGCCTATACCATGGTAGGGCTGACACATCAGAAATAGAAAATAATAAATATTTTGCTAATTATAAATTATTAATCATAATCCTCCTAATCATTAGAAAATGGGCTGGAATTGAAGAGTTTTTGTCTTAGCTGTCCAGTGGTGTCGCTGTCAGAGGAAGGATTTGCAGACATACACTCTGATCAGTTTGTACTGGCATTGTAATGGCTGCAGAGCCATTAGTTTCTAGTGTTTACTGGTCTGTGCTGACTCGGTTCTTGCACTTGCTGACAAAAAGAGACCTGAGGAAAGACACTGAAAATTGGAACTTCCTGAAAGCTACCTGGGAAATCCAAGTATTTATGAAAATGGTGTGGGGTTACCAAGTATTTTATACAGAGCATGTTAGACTGGCTGGCTGTAAATGGAGGTATATTTCAAAGGGCTGGTTTTAATCTAGGAATCCTACTATTGGTGTTCCTGACAATTTTAAACACCTCTCACTCCATCCCTCATTAAAAAAATCACCTCTGGGTTTCGAATTTAACTGACCAAACTCTCGATTTGAGTATTTTGGGAGGTCATTTTCTGAATTTTCCTTTAACTGTGTTTGCAGTAGAATCTGCAGTGATGGACTGGTTTCATTGCAGGTTTCCGAGAGCCTGGCACCAATAATGCCTCTTCAGTACGTCTGCGCCCCTGACAGTGAGCACACATTGTTGGCAGCCCCGTCTCAGTTCCTCCTGGAGAAATTCCTTCAACATGCAACGTACAAACTCTTCCCGAAGGCCATTCATAACTTCAAGAACCCGGTGTTGGCCATCGACTGCTACCTGAACATCGGGCTCGAGGTACAGCGTGTTGGCAGGGATAATGGGGGTGACTAAATGCAAACTTTGACATCTTTCTTGTGTTGAAAACCCCGTCTTTTATCAACCCTAGGCACCAAGGGCAGAGTTTGAAGATGTTGGTCTCTGCTGTTTTGAGCAGCTCCACTGAAAAGCTGGCAGTGAGGCCTCCCTGCTGGCTGCTTTAGGTAGAGACTGGAGGTCTGTGATGGGTTGATGGGGTTTGCAAAGGAATTGGGTGTTTCTGCCTGAAATAATAGTTCATATTTGAAGCAAAATCCCAAAAGTTATGCCATTCTTAAGAGAACCTGGTGTGCTGCATAGTCTGTGTGAAAACTATCCACAAAATTTTTTAGCTCACTGTCCTGTCATACAGCTTTTTATTACCCATTTGATTTGTACTTGCAGCAACCTTGTTTTGGCTAAAGAGTTTCTGATACAACCCTTGTCTGGTGACTTCCCTCACTGATGAACCAAGCGCATCCTTTGTAACACCCCTCTCCTTTTGGATGCTTTTTATGAACTCGAGTTTCTAGGGAAACAAGGCTTTTGCAAGGATGCCTTAGATGCCTGTAGGCAGGGAGATCAGAATTTTTGAACCCATGGGTCACTTTGAACTGGCTGTGTGAAGCAGGGTAAAACTCTAACAAGGGTTTTGTTCTGAGAATTTTTATGGAGGTCAGTGACAAGACAGAAAAGAAACCTTTTGATAAAGAACAGCCGTCACAGCACTGAAACACAGGAGAGCCCCAGAGCTGGGAACCACTTGGCTGATGCTTGCAGTCAGCAAGAGAAGACAACGCCTGTGCAGAGGAGCTCAAGCTTCAGCAGTTTCAGTACTCATGGAATTGGTTACTGTGTTTGACAGATGTTTCCTTACTAGAACAAGCTAAATAATCCTAACAGCTGTTACAAGCAGGTAATTCACAGAGAAAGAAAAAATTAAACTGAATTACAGAGAGCTCTGAAGTAACATCTTGCAGGCTTGGTGACGAAACCTCAGTCTAGAAGTTTGTTTCACATTATTTCTTGAGTGAGGTTTCCTCATGTGGGATCGTGTGTTCACTAACTGGTGAACATGTTGGATTGTGTTTTTACAGCTGACTTGCCTGTTATCACTAAGTTGTGTTCCATTCTGCTCAAAGTTGGACTTAGACGTTTGCTAACATGGAAGTGCTTCCTTTCTTTTTCCCTTTCTGTTCCAGGTGGCTGTGTGCTACGTTAGCTCCCGCCCGCACTCAGTCAATGTCAACTGCGAAGGGGTGTTCTTCAGCGGACTTCTGCTCTACCTCTGTGACTCCTTCGTCGGTGCGGACCTCCTCAAGCAGTTCCGGTTTCTGAAAGGTAAACTCATTGCTCTGCTGGGCTTCCCGGGCACTTTTCTGCCAAGTAACAGCAGAGAGGAAAAGTGACGGGTAAAGGAATAAGCAGCTTTCTTATTTTCACAGTTAGTGTTGCCATTGTTTTCAAAAGAAGTAGGTGGAGTGTTTCTCTTGGGAGCGTGTAAAACTTCCTCTTGCGATTAAGTGCAAATAATTGAACCTTCACTAAGCTGTGATAAATTTCGTTCATTAAACTATTTTCAAGTGACATAAAATAGAAGAAAGTGCAGAAAAGCAAGGATACATGGAAATCAGTCAGTGAATTGTGCAATCAGCAACTTGAGAGTTTTGAGCATAGGTGTTACTAATGATGACAAGAAAGCCTGCTCTAGTTATCTGTCTATAATGGCAATAAATATTCAGTACCGTAGCTGAAGGATGATGAGGTGTGTCCTCACCAGAACTTTATAAACCTCATTAAAATATTGCTTCATCATTTTTTCTTAATACTAGCAAAGTTATTCAGTAATGTTCAAGTGCGTTATAGAGCCCCAGGGCATGTGTAGTGGCACAGCTGCGCTGCTTCCTTCATGCTGCGTGAGGATGGTGCACGTGCCGGGGGGGTGGTGGGGGTCACCCTGAGCCAGCCCCAAGAACCTAATTTTGGCATTTGCTCCCTACCTTGCCCCAGGGTGCAGGGACCATGCAGGAAAGGTGTTTTTGCTCGTTGTTCTGTGAGCAAGGGGTGGTTTCTTCACAAAAATGGGCGGCAGATGCCTGTAGGAAGAGCTTTCCCCGTTTGAATGGATCAGAGGGGGGATCTGAACCTGAACTGTCCATGTACCACGTGTGTGGGCTGCAGCACGGGACAGAGAACACCCCGAAGGTCTCCAGTGCTCCTGCCCATTAAATGACTACACAGACTGGTAACACCAGGCGAAAGGAAGCTTGTGAGTTTGTTAAGCAAGAGAAATCAGGGATTTGGCTTATTATTCCTCTTAAGGTGCTTTACCATACTTAAGGAAGTCATAGCAGATTTTCTCAGGAGTCAGTTGTGGGCCTGGTTTGGTTTCATAGAATTTCATCATTGACCTTGTACAAACAGAAGTGTCCCTTACAGCTCATGCGCACACACACACACACAAAAAAAAAACCCCTTCTTTTTGGCATATTTATCAGTAGTGCTTTAAGGATCTCAGATCCAGGTTAATGTTCTCTCTGCTGCAACTGATGATATGAACACATCAGGCAGTGACGTCCTGAGATACAGAGCAGCCTCCACACCATGCTTGTTGCTTGTTCCCTCCCTGTCCCTGCCTTCTTGTGCAGGGACACGTGCACCTCTGCCCCAGGGCTCACGGGACTGAGCTGAGCCCAGGCTTGACCAGTCATGGAGAGACCCTTCTGATACTTCTTGTTTCCTACCTAGCAGCAGAAATTTCTTTAAAAATACCTTCAGAAACCAAGCAAAGGAAGTAGAGTTGTTATTGTACCCTGAGAATCTAATGTGCTTTTCAATTGAAGGTGCCACCTTATGTGTCATATGTCAAGACAGAAGCTCGTTACGGCAGACGATAGTCCGGTTGGAGTTGGAGGATGAGTGGCAGTTCCGACTTCGGGATGAGTTTCAAACTGCTAACAGTAGTGATGACAAACCACTCTATTTTCTTACCGGACGCCACATATAAGCATTGCTAAGACACAGCAAACAAAATAAAAACAAAAAAACATTTTAAAAAAAAAAAAGTACAATCACTGTGGAGCAAAGTGCAACCAATATTTATCTAGACTGCTCTAAAGGATTCCCCACCATTCTGCAATAGGCTTTATTCCCAGAGATAAAATTACCACATCGGTTACGATTTGAAGGATCCTGGCTTCGAGTTATTTTCACATCAGTCACAACCATCGACACTGATCACACAGCTCGTCAGGCTGCAGGATGTAGGAAAAGGATGTCATTTGGTTGAAGAATCCTTTCTTTTTTCAGCTGAGCTTAAGGGAAGAAGCTGTTCTCAGCAGCTGCCAGCTTGAATGTGTGACATGAAATGCAACCCAGTGTGTGGAATTTACTGAAGATACGTGGAAGAGAGCCTACTGTGTCTCTTCAGCTCTGTACTGCAGTACAGGAATACTCAGGGGTTTTAAACTACAATATAACGTAGATATTTGTATTGAAAGGAATAGTCTTGTTCTCTGTGCAGTGTTAGTTTAAAAATTGTGTATGTATTGAAACTGTCTTTGGCAAAATTTCCACAGGTGTTCAAAGTTTACTACTTAAACCTGAACAAAACAAAAACACGTGGCAGGCACTGTGCCCCCGGGTTCTCCCAGCGCTGTTACTTCACCCTGTTAGGGAAAGCAAGAGGCTTCTCCTAGATGCCCTCTCCTTGGTTAGAGGCCAAAATGACTTCCCAGCAAATCACCTTCAGCTCCTTGTCAGAGCTTTGAAAAGTGGGGGTCTGGTCCCCTTCACGTACAGAAGTGAGCCCTACTCTACACCCGGGGCCATACACAGCGTCCCCTTCCCTCAGCTCCAGCTGGCTGCAGAGCTGGGGCAGGGTCTGTTGAGCCACACCCGGATGCAAAGCAACACACCACAAAACACACAGGAGGGCAGCGCTGCCTGCGCCGGAGCCGAGAGAAAAGGAAGGTATTTTACAGTAGCTCCAGGGGGACTGCTCAGGACTCTGTCCGTAAGTGAAGATCTTTGAGTGCATCACCTGACACTGTCATCCATTATTTTTTGATTAACCTCTGTAAATACCGGCTGTAGTCACACATTGCTCTGCTTACAAGCGCATTACTGATCCTTGTTACGGTGTTTCTTGATGAACTTGGTGCAGTAGCATTGCGTTGTCAGGGTTAAATCATAGCACAGATACTCCTGTGGGTTACCCCACTGAGGTTTCCGTATAAAAAAACAACCCAACCCAATACACTTCCTGCACATCATGACCCCTTCATTAAAAAGAAAAATGCAGCATATTGTTAAAAGGAATTCCAGAATATCAATTTACTCCAGAAAAAGCAGTGAAATTACCTTGACCTGCAACTCATTGGAAATGGACCTGCCAAAACTGCATTTTTTTTTAATGCATAGTGTTAATTAAGCAACTTTTTTTATCTTGTGAAAGAGATGTTTACAGATGAAAAGAACATAATATATTTGACAGAGGCTAAAGGAAAATGGTTTGCATATATCTGTGTTAATGTAGCTAAACTGATGCTGTAAATTTAGCACATTTCAGATGAACACCCCCTTTCTGTAAATTTATTTTTTATTTTCCTTCAGACACAACCTGCCTTATCTACTTTAACACCTGGAAGAAGTAGGGATATAAAAGATGCTTCTCGAAGCTTTCAATACACATGTGAATGTATTCCACTAGTTCTGGGTCTGCCAACTCTGAGTCAGAGGGTGGTGTAGAAGTTCCAGGTATTGCATGTTCAAAAACAGTTTCCTTTTTTGTTTGTATCTTTGACATTTGCACTAAGTTCTTAAAAATTCCAGGTGCTGAGACTACTAGGAGGAGTTAGGTATAGCCCTCTGGTGAAGCAGCGTGTAATTGTCGTGAAGGTTCAGAACGCATTCAGAAAGCCAGCGTGCTTTGCCTACCTTTACCAAACAATAGCAAACCCATTTCCTTAACTCTCTCTTGTGTGGAAAGGAGTTTTGGTACCGCAGCTCGGGAGGTGTGGGTCTGCCCCACTGAAAGCTGCACCTGGCCACCAGGCCACTCCTGGGAAGGGACCACTATTTGCCACCTTGGTTAGTGCTGTTCCTGTTTGGTTCTAAGCCTCACCCTCAAGGCCATTCTTCTGAATGTATTCAGCAAGCCAGCATTATATTTTACCTGTAGATGTTCTTGTCTATTCACAGGTTCAATTTGAATGTAAACTAAGATTTAAAGAATCATATGCAGATGGTTTTTGCTTAACTTATGTAATTGCTTTTTGTGACTTTTGGAAGAGGGTTAAAAATGTTGCTTTCCTAGTGTAAAGTTTTCTTAACCAAAAAAACTTGGTGAATTTAGCTTCACTAGTCAGTCTACCTCATGTTATTGTTTATGAACTGAACCTGTCCAAAGTTGTGGCTACGGTATGTTTATAATGTGCTTTCATTAAATCTGAATATATTAAGTTGCTATTTAAAGTCTGTCTCTTTAACTGGTGCTTTCCACAGGCTGGGCCGCTGCTTTCTCTCGTCACACACAACAGCACTTGCCCCGAGAAACCCACCTCATGCTGCCAGCAGCGATCCTGCTCCTTGGTTTTATGGTGTTAACTTGGCTGGTGTTCAAGATCTTCCAAACCGGGTACTCAGGCTCTGGGAGAGCAGCTGTTTCAAACAGACAAGAGGGAGGCAGTGAACAAGCTGTAAATACTGACTTTTAGCCCCCTTAAGTGTAAGCAATCGAAGACGGGGCTTGGTCTGGCCCCACTTCAGCACATCACTGAGGCAGGAACTCAGGAGCAGCAGAAGTACCTGTGCCCCACAGTGAGGCTCACCAGTAGATTTTCTGTGACCCCCCACACCACATTTTTGACAAAGCCCTTTGCAGTCTGCTCACAGTCCCCTCAAAACTTACAAGCTGAGACTTTTCAACAGCAGCCTCTGCAGACCAGAATTCATCACCATTCGGCTACTTCACTTTTTCGTGCTCTGAGCAATGTTTCAGAGGTGGTGCGAGTTCTCTGCTCTAGCTCTAGCCTGAAGTTAATGACAGCACAATACAACCAGGTATCCTACCTGCACACAGATTCCAAAATTAAAACAAATCATGAGTTTAAACTTATTAAACCCTTCCTATCTTACATTAGGTTTTAAGCTATTATTCAAGGCTTAAGTCATTGCCCCTTGCCATGCTGTAAGCCCTGCACTGGGATGGTGCTGGTTCAGGGCTGTGGGGGAACTGGTCCCTGGTCTGTCACTGTCACACAGGGAATCCCAACCCCAAGCCAGTGGGAGTGCAGCGGCCATGATCCCTAGAGGCTGCTTCAAAACACACGGTGCCATCAGCCACGCAGGTGATATTTCACACGCAAAAGTACGAAATACACTGAAGATTCAGTCACACTTATTATCAATACGGAATAACTTTAAAAAAGCTATCAAGTGTTTTATTTTTCATCTATCTACATTATGTACAGATCAAGAAAGGCCACAGCAGTTTTTCAACATACAAACCCTTTAAAAGAGGAGAGATTTATGAAGTATCAAAGTGAAGTCCACTAACAAAGGTATATACTCAGTACAGTACTTGCAGAAAAACGACGAGTGCGCCAATCCTTGAGGTGTGCATTCCACCTGTCACTCTACAGCTAACCCAGGGGAAGGAGGGGGTGAGGAGGGGACTGGGCTACCCAAGTTTCAAGGGTGCTGCTGCCCAGCAGCCCGAGCAGCGCACAGGACGCACCCCGGGAGGCCAGCATCCAGCCTGTGAGGGTCGCGCCCCAGGATGACTACACCATCATGCAACTGAGCGCAGCCTTGAAGTCTGTCAGTCAAGCAACTGTGACCAGCCTCCCCCAGCCACTGGAACGGGTGGCAGGAGCTGGGCGCTACAGCACTGGTATATCACCGCGTTAAGAACTTCAGCATATACTCATCAGTGAGACTAGAGAGTCTTTGCATTAGCTTACAGTCCACTAGGAACAAGTTTCTGCTGCATGTAAACATGACTAACTAGATAAAATACAATCAAACTTTTGTAAAAGTTAATAAAATATCTTTCTTTTTAAAAAAAAAAACAACCAAAGTTAGCCTATTACTGCATTGTTTACAATTTTAATAAAATAGTACAACCTTTCGGTTGTTACCAGTCCTGAGTTCACTGTAATAAAAATGGCCCTGACTTCCGCGGAAGGTCTGCACCCACTCAGTGCATTTTGGCAGAAGTCTCCCAATAAAAATGGAATTCCTTCGGGAGCAGCTAAGTCTGGTGCTGTCCGTTAAGGAAGTTGTATACCAGGAACTGGCCGGTGCCACAGTACTGCGTTGCAAAGAGTTTTCCATCAGGAGTAGGGTCAGAGAAAGCGATTTCTTCTTTACTTAAATATGAGCCATATATGAAGTTGCTCCTGTTTAAAAGAAAGGCAAAAAATATATAATTACCCTCAAGAATTACCCTCAGGTAATAATGCAAGAATATTCGTGCCATTAGGCCATTAGGTGGTGTGGACATTCAGAAGAAAGAAGCTTTATTAGGAGGAGATGGTTCTATTTATATGAGCTATCTCCTCCTTCCAAACAGCACGGAGGATCTCATGTTCTGGGAGGGTTTTTATAAGGTTTTGGTATTTTAGAAGAAATGTTCGTACAGAGCAATTGCTTGCAAGTTCAGTTTCAGAGGTTTAAAAAAAAAAAAAAAAGGGCAAGCTAATTCATTCCAACTATTTCTTCATAAAAAAGAGACTGCTAGAGCTATGACTACGATCACTTGGAATGAAATCACAAGCTAGAAACAAGTCAGGGTGCTAACGGAGGCGGCTTGAAAGGACCTGATGAAACCTTCAAGTTTCTGTTTGAAAAACACATTTCACATTTGGATGAGAGCACGTCTTGGATTAATTTAGAACACAACCTCAAGGCATAATTCATAAATGAAACACTTTCAGTAATAACTATATGAAAAGGAAGATTCAATTTGCCTAACTTCTCAGTGAACACAATTTATGTATGTCT